TTGGTGTGCGAATTTTTCTGTGGGGGGGGGGGGGGGGGAACAGGGCCTCACTGCATAGCTCTAGCTAACCTGAACTCACTCTATAGACTAGGCTGGCCTTGAACTCACAGAGATCCACTTGTCTCTACTGCCAGAATCCTGGGATTAAAGGTGTTGTCCCACTATGCCTGGCGGGGTTTGAATTTCCCATCCTGCTTTGGCCTCCCAAATAGCTGGGGTTGCAGACCTGTACCACTAGACCTGATATGTGTCACCTTTTCTTAGGAAACCATGCAACACTACTTACACCACATTCTGTTCCTTACAAGTGACTCACAAACCTGCCCAGATTCAAGAGGAGGGGACTTCAACCACAGTTCTTGAGGGAGGAGTATCAAAGTCACAGTATCAAAATAGTACTTGGAGCCAGGCATGGTGGTACATGTCTGTAATCACAACACTCAGAAGGCTGAGGCAGGATTATAAAATTCAGACCAGCCTGGGCTACATATGGAATCTGAGAACAGCCTGGGGCTATACAGTAATACCCTGTATAAAAGCTTTCGGGGTGGAAAACACCCTCCCATGTATAGTATCATTTTATCCCTGTCTTACAGTTCCCAGTGTTGGAAGACGTTGAGAACCTTATGTTCCTTTTTGGTGTGTGTGTGTGTGTGTGTGTGTATGTGGCTTTGTTTTGAGACAGCATCTCACCATATAGCCCTAGGTAACCTGGAACTTGCTATAAAGATCATCCCAAGCTGGCCTTGATCTCACAGAGATCTGCCTGCCTCTGCCTCCTGAATGCTCGGAGGCACTAACGGTGTGTGCCACCATGCCTGGCAGAACCTTATTGCCTCTGCAAGTTCATATTCACTTTGTGTATCTAGTATCATTGGCTGAGCTGGTCACTGTATTTGAAAATATTTTTAAGTTAAATTACTTATTTTTAAAGTTATTTTGTTTTTTGTATGCAGCATAGCGTAGCACTGGCTGGCCTGAAACTATGTAGACCAAGCTAGCTTCAAATTCATATAAAGATCCACCTGCCTCTGCCTTCTGAGTCCTGGGATTTAAAGGTGTATGCCATCATGCCCAGACTTAATTTGGTTTTTTTTTTTGGTCTTTTTGAGACAGGGTCTCCCTGTAGTCCCAGCTGTCCTGGAACTATGTAGACCAGGCTGGCCTTGAACTCACGGAGATCCGCCTGCCTCTGCCTCCTGAGTGCTGGGATTAAAGGCGTGTGCCACCACACCCGGGCTTTGTTATTTTAACTTATGTGTATGTTGTGTGTATCTCTACCAGGGTATATACATGTGAGGGGAATGCCTGCAGAGGCCAGAGCTATCATATTCCCTGGAGCTGGAGTTTTACAAATGGTTGTAAGCTACCCAACATGGTGCTGGGAACTGTATTTGGGTCCTTTACAAGAGCAGTACAGACTCTTAACTGCTGAGCCATCTCTTTAGCCCTTTAAATATTTTTGTCTCTGGGGAAGCCCTGGTTTTGGGGGGCAAAGGATAGAGCAGTGGGAGGGGAGGTGGGTGGAGATGCCCACCCAGGCTCTTCTGTCCATAGGACACGTCATCCAGTGACAGTGACTCAGACTGGGATGGAGGTGGCCGTCTGTCCCCACTTCTGCCCCAGGACCACCTTGGCTTGGCGGTCTTCTCAATGCTGTGTTGTTTTTGGCCTGTGGGCATTGCTGCCTTCTGTCTGGCCCAAAAGGTTAGTCAGCGTGTGGGTCTGGGAGGGCACTGGGGTTTAAATAAAGGAAACTAAATCAAGAGGAGCCATGCCTGTGGGAATGGGTGTGAGGGGTAGAGAGGGGTTTCCACATGGAAACCCAGGTGTAACCAGGAGGGTCACCTCAGGTTCAAGGCCAGCCTGGCTACAAAGTGGAACCCTGAAGCTAGGTGTGGTGGTGCACGCCTTTAGTCCCAGCACTCTAGAGGCAGAGGCGGGCATATCTCTGAGGTCAAGGCCAGCCTGGTCTACAAAGTGAGTTCCAGGCCAGCTGGGGCTGTAGGGAGACCCTGTCTCAAAAAGATTAAAACAAAAACCAAAACAACCCCTCCCCCAACAAAGTGGGACCCTGTCTCAAAAGAACCAAATCAAACAGAGACAGGGCTGAGGATGTAGCTCAGTTGGTAGAGTGCTTCCCAGCCTGATGAAGTCTTGGATTTTATCCCCAGCCATCTGGGGATGGAAGAAGTAGAATTTAAGTTCAAGGTTATCCTTGGCTACAAGGGAGTTTCAGGGCAGCCTGGGCTACATGAGACTTTGTCTTTAAAAAAAAAAAAGGAAGGCAAGAAAAGTAGGAGAAAAATGAGGCACATTTCATAGAACCTGTCAGGGTGGTGATAAAAGACTTGAACTGTCCTGGGGAAATTACCAAACTTCCCCACAGGTTTTCTTTCTCTGTAACCACCCACAAGTAATTCCTACCTCAGGTCATCCTGCAAATCAACGGAGTTAGAATACTGGCAGACATAAAAACAGTGGCATATAGTAACATGCTTTTATTAGTCACCCAGCATCCCTGTTGCCCAACTGTGCCTCATCCATGAGTTTGGAATAGATGAATGAATGGTATGCTGGGTGGGGGAGGAGCCACAGGAATCAGGGAAGGAGGGGGACACTTTGGTTACCACTGCCCACTGCCTCTACAGACCAACAAGGCTTGGGCCAAGGGGGACGTCCAGGGGGCAGGGGCCGCCTCCCGCCGTGCCTTCCTGCTGGGGGTCCTTGCCGTGGGGCTGGGCCTGTGCACATATGCAGCTGCCCTGGTGACCCTGGCTGCCTACCTTGCCTCCCGAGACCCGCCCTAGTTGCCCCTCCGGCCCCCACTGTGAATGCAGAGGCCAGAGGCCCAGCGCTCCTGTGAGCAGAATGAACCAGCCTGGTGCTTTCCCTGATGGCGGTGATGACATCATCCAGAAAGGAGAGCCAGCCGGAGAACCCCTCCCCTTCTTGGCCACCCCTCAGCAGAAGGAGGCAATGTGAGAGATTAAACAAGACACCCTGCAGCCAAATCCAAGTCTGTCCTGTGAGTCTATGTGTCCAGGGTGGATGGGTGGCGGTGCCTAAGGGCAGGCAGGGGTCAGATAGGCTGCCAGGCTGTGTGTGGCTGGCACTGGACCTCAGAGCTTGAGGTGGAATTGGGTATGGGGTTTCCACACTGCAGTTTTCTTCTCCACACTGGTTAGTAGAGAATTAGAAAACAGATTTCAAGGTCTCACTGTGTAACCCTTGACCTTGAACCTCACTGTCTCATCTGCAAAATGGACTGTTTAATTTGGGCTGAGCAGAAGCTCCAAGCCATCGTGTTTCCCGCAGCACTGCACATTCCCTCTGCACACTTGGCTTCTGTTTCCCTTTTCTTCGGGAGAATGCTAGTCCTGCAGCTCAGATCCCCCAAAGACCGTAAGTCCTCCTCCCCAGGGGAGTCTCAGAAAACCAAGTGCAGATGGCACCAGCAGGTTCAACAGATGTGTGTTTACTGCTTAGCAGCACACAGGAATGCTTCCTAATGGGGACTGGTGTCAGTACTAGGCAGCTTAGTCTTGTTTAATGCCACCATGATGGATCTTGCTGGAAGAAAATAGCTTTTCCCAGTCAGCATTTCCCAGAGCATCTATGGGAGCAACATTTCAAGCTAATGATACTTGTGCATTTCCTTCTTGTTACTGGGTGTGAAGACACCTGACCAGAGGGGCGAAGGGGGAGTCTGGGAGCTACACCTAGCATCTGAGGTGTGCAGATGACCGGGCCCAGCACGTGGAAACAGTGTCAGGAGCCTGCTGACAGGAGCCCTGTGTTGCCAGGCTGTGGGATAGTTGCTCTTTGCAATAAATTCCCAAGTTCTTAACTCCTGTCCCTTTAGCACCCCAGAGGGTGAGGAACACCACCTGAGCCCCAGTGACTTGCCTACATATGGAGAAGCCCCAGAATGCTGATGTCTCCCTGGGCTTTGCCCCAACAGCCTGGGCTTGGGGACCTCAAGAGTCTCGTGGGCCCTCTGATCCTCTGTAGGCTAGCTGGAGACTCACAGGCTACCTGGCTCATGTGCTTGTACCACCTTCAAATGGGGACAATGGTCCCACCTGATGGGGCTGCTGGATGTACAACCCTTAGCCAGCCTTTGCTGGTGACCCCAGAGCCTTCATGTTGACATGTCTGTTCTTTCCGGTTCATCACCTCCCTTTCCTATCCTCACTGACCACTCCGTCTTGACTTCCTGCCTGGACCCTTGGGGCTCTTCCCCCCATTTTACCCACAAGCTCATACCCCTTCCTCTTTCAGGGCTCTCCTCAGTTGTCCCCTGCCTGTGAAGGCATCCTAATATACTGAATTTGTCATCTTCAAACTCTTTCTTATTTTTTTTTGAGACAGGTCTCATTATTTAGCCCTGACAGGCCTGGAACTTGCTATGTAGACCAGGCTGGCCTTGAATTCAGAGATCTGTCTGGGACTTACGGTGTGCACCACCATGCCTGGCTTTTTAAAAAAAATAAATGTAGCCCAGGCTAGTCTCAAACTCACTATGTGGTAGAAGATGATCTCAAATACCTGATCCTCCTGCCCCTAACTCTCAGGTGATGGGACCACAGGCAGGGATACACTGACCTCTTTTGTCATAGCATTTACTACCATCTGACAAAACACCATGCTTCTTTGTCCACTCTCCCCATCACTCCTGGAACAGGAGACACGAATCTCTTGTTCACTGCCAACTTCTCAGCACCAAACAGGCCTGGTAAATAGGTACTTGCCAGATGCCAGTTAGAATGAATGGATACGGACTCATTCATTCAACACAGGTGAGCTCCCTTTAATAGTGCTCTGGTGGTGGTGGTGGTCAGGGGGTTGTGTCCAGGTATGGAGATGTCAAATGCCAAGCCTCTGTCCCCGAGTCCTGTCCCCAGCCCATTACAGGAGTTCTTGCCTCTACAGGACTGGAAGTCACATGGGCACAGAGGCAAGGCTGGGTGCTGGCCTGCAGCAGCTGGAGGCAGTGGGCATGGTGGCGGGAGGGGGTGCTGCCCTGGCTTGCCTCAGCTCTTGGAGTAGCGCCTCTGCAGCGATTCCCGGTAGAAGCGGAAGATGTGTTGTGAGGCTGCCTGGGCTGCGGCCAGGCACTGCTGCAGCTGGGGAGGGAGAGGCCAGTCAGTGCCCAGGACTACTTCCTGACCCACATGAATCCCCAGGCCCACCATCTCCCCTTTCCTCCCATTACTCCTCACCACCCCAAAGGAGGCAGATTTTGTGCATATTTCCTTTTCTCGGGGTGGAGGGGGCCGTCATTCTGTAGCCTAGGTTGGCCTGAACAATCCTGCCCCATCCTTCCAAGTGCTTAGATTACAGGTATGCACTACCATACCTGGTTTTATTTGGTGTTAGGGACTGAACCCAGAACCTTCTCATGCATATTAGGCAAACATTCTACCAATGAAGCCACACCCTCAACCGTCCTAAGCTTGTCTTTCTTTTTGATAAATTAGGATCATATTTTGGCAGCATCAGGATTTCAAATCAGAAAGATCAGAATTCTGACTCCTTGGAAGAATCCATAATCAGAGATCAAGAGAATTAGAGTCACAATTCTTTTACCTACCCCTCCCAAATCCTTTTGTTGCTGGTTTTTGTTTGAGACAGTGTCTCACTCGGTAGCCTAGGCTCACTTGGAACTCACTGTGTAGCTCAGGATGACTGCACTACTCAGTGATCCTCCTGCCTTAGCCTGCTGAGTGCTGGGGTTACAGATGAGGGCCACCATACCAGGCCTCTCCCCGACCCCACTTTGAGGACCTACAGGATCTCATCCTGTAGTCCAGGCTGGCCTGGAACTCATTATGTATGTAATGAGTCTGGCTTCAAACACAGCAGCCCTCCTGCCTCAGCCTCCAAAATGCTGGGATCATAGCTGTGAGCCTCCATGCTCAACTCAAATCTTTAACTCCAGTCCCTGGGGATCTGACAGCCTCTTCTGACCTCCAAGGGCATTGCACGACATGGGTGCACTTACCTACATGCAAGCAATACACACATACACATAAAATTTAAAAAAAAATTTTTTTTTTTTGGTTTTTTGAGACAGGGTCTCCCTGCAGCCCCAGATGCCCTGGAACTCACTACGTAGACCAGGCTGGCCTTAAACTCACAGAGATCCACCTGCCTCTGCCTCCCAAGTGCTCGGATTAAAGGCGTGCACCACCACGCCCAGCAAAAAAAATTTATTTGATGTGTATGAGTGTTTAGCCTGCATGTATGTAAGTGCGCCCATGTCATGCAATGGCCACAAAATCCAGAAAAGGGCACTGGATCTCCAGAACTAGAATTAGGGATGGTAGTTAGCTACCATGTGGGTGCTGGGAAATGAACCAGGATCCTCTGCAAGAGCACCCAGTGCTCTTAACTGCTGAGCTGTCTCTCCAGCCCCAACCCAGATAACCTTAAGGGCCAGGAAATCAGAGATCCCCACATCTTTATTACTGCATGGGCCTACATCCGCAGGACCCGAGAAAAAAATGCCTTTATAGACCATTTGGCCTGTTTCCAAAGTATGTCCCTTGGAAACCCAGAATTCTAGGTGGCACTGTCATAGCTGTCCTGGGAACTTGCTCTTTAGACCAGGCTGGCCTCAGACGCACACAGATCCACCTGCTCCCGCCTCCTGAATGCTGGGATTAAAATCATGCATCACCATGCCCAGCAGCATATTGTTCTTGTAGGGGACACAAGTTCATTTCCCAGCACCCATGCTGGGGTCTCACAACCACCTGTAACTCCAGCTCCAGAGACAGGCACCTTTACGCTTATGTACATACCCCCCCAAAACACACATGGACACACTAATTAAAAAAAAAACAAAAAAACGCCAGGTATGATTGCACACCCCTTTAATCCCAGCACTCAGGAGGCAGAGACAAGAGGACCTCAAAGTCAGCCTGGTCTACATAGTAAGTTCCAGGCCAGCTGGGGCTAAAGGAAGACCCTGTCTGCAAAATCAAACAAACCCAAAAAGAACAAAAAAACAAAGTTTTACCTCTCCCTTTTCTGTTTGGTTTGTATTTTTAATACAAGGTCTCATATATCCCAGGCTGGCCTCAAACTCCCCATGTAGCTGAGGATGACCTTGAATTTCTGATTGTCCTCCTTCTACCTTCCAAATGCTGAGATTACAGGTGTACAGCAGGATGCCTGGTTTACGTGGTACTGAAGATCTAACCTAGGGCCTTGTGTATGCTAGACCGCACTCTACCAACTAAGCTACACTGCCATCTCCGAGAACCCCCACTTCTTTCAAGACAGGGATGCAAGGAAAGGCTTGCTTTGAACTTCAAACTTCAGGCACTTGGGACAAGATGTTATGTCATGGTGGGAGGGAAGGTTCTGGGTTTTTCCCCAGCCCCACACTGGTACCTCAGCATCAGAATACAGTCCTTTGGTGGTGGACATCAGCAGCTTCTGCTCCACGCTGTCCAGAGCAAAGGTCAAGACGGCCCGGGCCTTCTGGGAACAAGAGGTAGAAGACAGTGAAGGACCTCAGACCCTTGTCTTTGAATTCCCAGACAGTTTCAAACAGGGGTTACCAGACCCTTAGCCTCCAGGCCTCACTTCCCCATAGCCAGGTGCCTACATATCAGCTGCAGTTCTCCATCTACACATTACCCCTTCCCTAGGTAATGACTGTCTGCCTCTCTTGTGCAGAACAGAACTGGTTTTTTTTTAAGGTTCTACGTATTTGTTACTGAACCAGTTTGTTCATTTGTGCAGTGCAGATAAAAAGCAAATCAGATTCTTAATTTCAATATGACCAAATCTCCAGGTTAGAAAATGTTAGCTCCATCCAGTAGGACCAACAGACGACCATGATTCAGCTTAAACAGTCAGCTATGCCATCTTGTGTGAATCCTCGAGACCTGGCTCTCCTCCAGTGTATTCTCTTAAGAGTGGGACCTGATTTTGTTACCAGTTTTCATTTGAATCCATTACGGAACCGGACTATTTTGCTTTTGGCCAGGAATTGCTTGATTCTGCAAGTCTTGTGAGAAACCGAGACGGGTGCAGGATGGCAGATGAAAGGAGGAGACCCTGCACGACTGCTCTTTGCACCTTCTGACCACAGCACTCCTGTCCCGTAGGGGGAGCCACTGTGCTGGCCATCTGCTGCTGCCTCTCCGCCTCTCCTTTCCTTCATGCCCTGTACTGTATGTAGACTCAGGAGCCAGTCAGCAGGTCCCCACAGCCGGGCTCCCTTGCCATTAGGTTCTCCCAGCTATCTGATGGGAGCCTAGGGGGACCAGAGAGAAGCAGCCTGGTCCTTAGGCAGCAGCAGCTGTACAATAGCTATGGAGTTCTGAACTTCAGCAGGCAGGACAGATACCTGGCACACATGCACATTTGGAACCAATTACACTAAAGTCTTGGAAGCATTGCATGTGTCAGTTTCCCTCACACTGAGAAACAAACAAGGAAATCCTAATGGGTGTTGGGGGCCGGCTTCTAGCTAGAACTTTGTTCTTTCAGTTTGGTAATGAAAGCCAGTAAATTCCTCTTCTAGTTTGTGGATGTTTGAGTTGCGTTCCTAGCACTTGAAGCTAAGTGAACCCTGATGAATACTGCGGAGCCTGCAACTGGGCCCAGGGTGCATGAGCTGGCCGAATAGCACAGAAGGCCTGGCAGACAGAGTCACCTGGCCACAGCTCGTCAGCAACCGTAACCTCCACACCTACCTTTTCTTGCTTGGCTGTGGGGTCCAGCAGGAGATTGCCATCAGAGTCTAGGGCACAGGTAACCCCACAGAAGAGAGCCCGCATGGGCACACCTGCATCCACCAGTGCCATGCAGGCAGCATTTAGGCAACAGGCCAAGAGCTGAGCATGACGAAGTGGTTAAGGAGAGTGTCTTCTGTAGTGCTGGCCAGTAGAACACATCCAGGCTTCCCTTCACCTGCTGATGCCTGTGACAGACATCACTGACTGATTACAGAGCAGCATTGAGTCAGTGGTTCTGGGATCAAGTCGCTGTTGCTGCTGCTTCAAACTGAGCTTTGCCATCTCTCAGCTGGGTGGTCAGTTCACTTTCTCTGAGTCTCAGTCTCTGAATGTTAAATGGGATCATGACAAGTAATAGGCGTAGTAAAAGATGTACTAAAGTATGTACCAAGTACCTTTGTGAAATGTGGTCATAGAGAGAAATCTCCCAAGGTCACATAGGGTAGACACTGGCAAAACCAGGCCCAGCTCCTGGGAATCTAGCAGGTGGCTAACATACCAAAAAATGAAGCCAACAACTACTCCACTTGATTGGTGCTCCCCCAGTAGAGCCACACTCAGGCCAAGGTGCAGAATGGTCACTGGCTCAGGCTCACGTCAGATAGGCCTAGGCTTGAGTCCCGCCTCTGCTGCCACCTGGCTGTGTGTCCCTTGGGAAAGCCACTTTCCCTCACCTGAAACATAGCTACAGAAGAACACACATAGAGGGGAGTCCTTGGGCTCTTGAACCAGACTTCTGGAGTTATGATGGCGACTGATGCATGTACTGTGATGACTAAATGACCTAACGTGTAACATGTGAGGTCCTCAGGGCAGTCAGTGCCTGGCACACAGTGTTTGCTATTATTTTTCTTTTTTTGGGTCTTTTTGAGACAGGGTCTCCCTGTAGCCCCAGCTGTCCTGGAACTCGCTATGTAGACCAGGCTGGCCTTGAACTCACAGAGGTCCGCCTGCCTCTGCCTCCCAAATGCTGGGACTACAGGCGTGCGCCACCATACGCAGCATTATTTTTCTTTTCTATTAAATTTATCTCTCTTTCTCTCTCCTTCCACTGTGTGAGTCCTGGAGATCAAACTCAGGTAGTCAGGCTCAATGGCAAGAATCTTTACCCACTGAGCCATTTCATGGGCCCTGTTTGCTGTTCTTTATGAAGTGCTGCCTGGCACACATTTGGAGGTTTCTGAGTGGTAGAGGGTGTGTTACTGGGCCAACCGTGAGGGAGGTTCTAGAAAAATTCCTGAAGGGGCTGGGGAAGGATACAGAGCCGGCATCACTGACCACCTGCAGCACCACGGTGATGGAGGTACGGGGGTGCAGGGCACCCAGCACCACTGCCTCACATGTGTTCCGGATCAGGCGCTCCTGGCTTTTCTCAGCCACGCCTGGAGAGACCAGGGCAAGTTGTTAGGCGCTTCCCTTCCACCTCCTCATCTTTCCCTGCTCCATTAACCTTCAGAAGTAGCTGAGATAACACACACTCCCAGGAGTAAGCAGGCAGGGCCTGAAACTGCTGAACACCTGCTATGGCCAGCCTTCAACAAGGGTCCACCAGCTAGCCACCCTGGGGAGGAGTACCCACAAGTGCCCTTGTCTTTCCCAGTTATAGCCCATCCTCACTCCCATCCTGTAGGCCTGTCACAGGACATTTGACGGCGATGTGGTGAAAAGGCAGGAAAAAAGTAATGGAAAGGAGGGGAGACGGAGCAGAGAAGGAAACACAAAGAGACAGTGGGTGGGGAAACAAACAGCTGAGAGGACACTAGGTCTGTAATCAGCACTAGGGAGGCTGAGGCAGGAGGCTCACAAATTTGAGGCCAGTCTGGGCTACAAGAGAGCTCAGCCAGGTGTGGTGGCGCACACTTTTAATCCTAGCTCTCAGGAGACAGAGGCAGGGGTCCTGTGAATTTCAGGGAAGCCTTGTCTACATAGCAAGTTCCAAGCCAAACCTCTCAACTCTCACCAGAGAAGTTTCCTTATGCAGCAGACGGTGATTAACACAGAAACCCACAATGTGCAGAGATAAGGAGCTGCTGAGTGCTTATCCCTGAATAGGACACCTATTTCAAACCTCTGCCTTTCAAGGCTCAGGGATCATTGCACAAGAGGATGTTGAAAGATTTTAAAAGCTGGAGGGGTTGGATGGCCACGAGGAAACAGAATCTTTCAGACAGCTAGTCAGTCACTCATATGAACTCACAGTAATGGTGAGAGCAAGCACGAATCCAATGCAAATGCAAAGCAGACAAAATCCCAGCATAGAGATGGGGAAGTGGGTAAGAAATCCCAACCCAATCTAAGGAATTGGTGATTGATGGCTCAGAGGGAAAGACAGTGTCTTACAAGGATGGGGCCTCTTGGTGGGCCCAGTATATGGGCCCATACTGAAGGGCATTTGGGGACACAAGTCAGACTCATAGGCCATATTATATATATGAGAGTACATTAAATTGGGCAGGGGACAGGTGCAGATAGGGGAGGGGATCTAAATATTTTATGAAAGTCTCAAAAATTAAATAAAAATAAATAAAAAAATAAAAGAGAGAGCTCAATGTGAGCTTAGGCACCTTGAGACCAGTCTCAAAAAGTAAGGGGTTGGCTGGGCATGGTGGCACACGCCTTTAATCCCAGCACTTGGGAGGTAGAGGCAGGCAGATCTCTGTGAGTTCAAGGCCAGCCTGGTCTACATAGTGAGTTCCAGGCCAGCTGGGGCCACAGGGAGACCCTGTCTCAAAAAAAAAAAGGTAAGGCAAGGAGTTGGAAAGATGGCTCCGCAGCTGGAAGAACCTGGTTTTGGTTCCCAGCACCCACATGGTAGCTAACAACCTTCCTGAACTCCAGTTCTGGGGGATCCAATACCTCCTCTGGCCTCCATGGTCACTGTATGTGTGTGGTACGCTTACATGCCTGCAGGCAAGATACTCATACACATTAAAAAATTAATAAATTTTTTTTTTTAAAAGTAAAAAAGGCTGGTGATGTAGCTTAGCTGTAGAACACTTGCCAGAATCATTTACCAGTATGGGGCTGGTGACATGGCTCAGTACTAGACCGTCTGTTTAGAATTCACCAGTGAGGGCCTGGAAGGCCTGGCTCAGCAGTACCAGGATTGCTTGGAATCCACCAGTGAGGGCCTGGGGATGGGGCTCAGTGTAGAGCGCTTGCCTAGCAGGCATGAAGTTCTGGATTCCACCTCCAGTACAGCAAAAACAAAACAAAAGCTGAGCAAGGGAGGGAGCTGAGTGGGCAGTGGAGACCGGGCACAGCATGCAGGGAGGAGCCAGATGAGATCCTGGGGGACTGGATCTTCGGAGGTTCAGTTGACTCCATTTACCAGGCAGCCCTATCTTTGGCCTCAGGATCACTTCAAGTGTGGCCTTGTTGAAGATCTCCTTGCTGACCTTCACCTCAGCGGGCCCATAGACTCCAGCCAGGACAGAGGTATCACCTGGTAAAACATCAGGGGAGGCCTCAGTCACTGTGCCAGCATCTGAGGCACAATGTGTGGCACAAACAGCATGCGCACAGAAGCCCAGGGGCTCCCTGTGCCAGCCTTGCCATTTGTTGGCAGTGATCATTCCAGTCCCCACTTCACTCTTCTGCTTCTGCTTTCTCATCTGTAAAATGGGTACAACCATAACACTTCCCTTATGGCATTTTCATGGAGATCAAAGACACAGTTCAGGACTGGAGAGCACAGCTCAATGGCATCAGGAGGCCCTGAGCCCCAGATCTCCACATCACCCAAGAAAATAAGACAAAAATTTTAGAAAGCACAGTTTACTTAAAACACTTAGGACACTGCTTAGTGCATGCAGGGCACACAACAGACTTTAGTTTAAGAGGAGGTAGTTCGGGTTGGAGCGATGGCCCAGAGGTTAAGAGTGCTTGCTGTTCTTCCAAAGGACCCAAGTTTGGTACCCAGCACCCACACCAGGTAACCACCTGGAACTCCAGCTCCAAGGGTTCTGCCTCTTTTGGCATCCGTGAGCACCAGCACACATGTGGCATTCACTCACCTACATACATATGAATAAAATAAGATTTGAAACAAGAGGAGGTAATTCCTGAGAGTCGTCCTTTCTCTTCCTACTGTGATTGGTCTGTCTGTTCCGAATGGGTCCTCACCCCCATACCTCTCCTTTCCGGACTCTGCAGCAGTGCGAGTACCTAAGAAAAGGGTCCAGGTGGCCCTACTAGGGGAATGACTGGAATCCCAGCATTTGGGAAGAAGAGGATCAGGAATTCAAGGTCCCTTGGCTACAAACTGTGTTTGAGGCCCCCCTGGGCCACATAAGACCATCTCATAAACCAACCAAGGGAAACCCATTGTCATGTATAATTAACAAATCCTAATGAAAAATTTTAAAAATACCAAACAAGAGGCTGGAGAGATGGCTCAGCGGTTAAGAGCACTGACTGTTCTTGCAGAGGACCTGGGTTCGATTCCCAGTACCCACATGGTGGTTACGAACCGTCCTTAACTCCAGTTCCAAGGGAACCTGAAGCCCTCTTCTGACCTCCACGGCACTGCACGACACAGGTGCACTCACATACATGCAGGCAATACACTCATACACATTAAAAAAAACAAAAACAAAAAAACAAAACTAAACAAAATAAAAAATAACAAAAAAGAAAGGGGATCTAAGCCAGGCGTGGTGGCGTGCACACGCCTTTAATCCCAGCAGTCGGGAGGCAGAGGCAGGCAGATCTCTGTGAGTTCGAGGCCAGCCTGGTCTCCATAGTGAATCCAGACCAGCTAGGGCTACAGGAAGACCCTGTCTCAAAAAAGGGCCCCCCCCCCCAAAGGCGGGGGGGGGGATCTATAGTTGTGATGGTTTGGGGATCTCAATTCCTGCTTATTTTCCCAAAATGGATATGAATGGATGAGAAGATTAAGCAAACAGAAAACTAGCTTCTAGCCCTGTCTGCCTATTTCTGGCTCTTGTGTGACGCTAAGTTCTCTGGGCTTTAGAGAGCCCACAGCAAAATGAAGACACTGGGTTTGTTTCCACGTTTCTGACTATAGCGCCCAATAACTGATCAGGATTTGGTTACAGCCCAACTCTAAATTCATAAATCTATGTGTATAAATGTATCACAATCACACAAAGTAATCCCCAGCTGCATGCCGAGTCATGGGGGAACCTTAAATGATTCTGATCCATAAGCTTTCTCCAGTGTTCCTTACTGAAGGGCTCAAAAGTGAAGAGCCTCAAAAACCAAGTCAACCAAGGAGTTGAGCTGGGCATGGTGGTGTGCCCCTTTAATTCCAGCAATCGGGAGGCAGATGCAGGTAGCTTTGTGTGAGTTTGAGATCAGCCTGGTCTGCATATTGAGCCAGGCCAGCCAGGGCTACATGGTGAGACTCTGTCTCAAAACCAATCACCAACCAACCAACCAACCAAACCACTAAGGGGCTGGGGGTGTAGCTCTGTGGCAGAGCATGTGCCTAGGATGTGTAAGATCAGAAGTAGAAAACCAGGACCAACTTTCTTAGGTATGTGATAGGTTCCCAGGTTCTGTAGGTTTCTGTGGTTGGATTTTCTGAGACAGGGTCCCGTATAGTCCAGTCCAGTCTGGTATTGAATGCCTGGTCCTCTTGCCTCTGCCTCCCAGGTGCTGGGATTACAGGTACGCACCATCATCTTTTTTAAAAATTAACTTTGGTTTTTAAAGTTAGGATACAAAGTAATGAATGGGTTTCATCGTGACAGTTCTACATATACCTGTTCTTATCTTTGTTTTGTTTCCCCCCATACCCCAACCTGGTTCTACAGTTTCTATAAACTTGCCAGAGTTTCTGAAGCCAGAAATGTTTGGAACATGCATTCTGAAGGTCTGCCAGGCCTCCAGATTGTATTAGGGCCCTGCGTATTTACAGTTTTAGAAGACAGACAAGCTGCCTCTTTTTATTTTACTTTGTTTTCTCTTTCTGAGGCAGGGCCTTCTTGTAGCTGCCCTGGAACTCACTATGTAGACTAGGCTGGCCTCCATCTCAGAGAGATCCACCTGCCTCTGCCTCCAGAGTGCTGGTATTAAAGGCACGTACCACCACGCCTGGCTATTATAATTTTTTAAATTTATTTTTATTTTATGTTTGTGTTTTGCCTACATGTATGTAAGTGCACTCTGTATTTAGTGCTCAGAGGCCAGAGAGGGTGTTAAGATGCCCTGGAACTGGAGTTAAGGATGTTTGTTAGAAAAAAAAAAAAAACAAGCTGGGTGTGATGGCGCATGCCTTTAATCCCAGCAGTCGGGAGGACGAGGCAGAGGCAGGCGGATCTCTGTGAGTTCCAGGCCAGTTTTGTTTACTGGGAGACCCTTTTTTTTTGGTCTTTTTGAGACAGGGTCTCCCTGTAGCCCCAGCTGTCTTGGAACTCACTACATAGACCAGACTGGCCTTGAACTCACAAAGATTCATCTGCCTCTGCCTCCCAAGCTCTGGGATTAAAGGTGTGCGCCACCACACCCTGCCTTTTGTTTTGTTTTGGCTACAGGGTCTTTCTGTAGCCTCAGCTGGTCTGGAACTTGCTAGGTAAACCAGATCTCACATCCTCTTCTGCCCTCCATGGGCATCCCATGCATATGGTAGTTACATGCATGCAAGTGAAACACTCATACACACAAATAAATTTTTAAAAATTTAAAGACTTTTTTCTTTTTACATTTTTAAATTATTTTATTTTATGTGTATTGCCTGCATGTAGATAAGTGCATCCATGTTGTGCAATGCCCATGGAGGACAGAAGAGGATGTCGGATTCCCTGGAACTGGAGTTACAGACAGTTGTTAGCTGTCATGTGGGTGCTGGGATTCGAACCCGGGTCTTCTGCAAGAACAGCCAGTGTTCTTAACCACAGAGCCATCTCTCCAGCCCCTTTTCTTGTCTTTTTGAGACAGGTCTCCCTGTAGCTCCAGCTGGCCTGGAACTTGCTATGCAAACCAGGCTGGCCTTGAACTCATAGAGATCCACCTGTGTCCCAAGTGCTAGGATTAAGTTCTGTACCACCATGCCCGGCTTAAAGATTTATTTAAATTACGTGTACATGTGTGTCTGTGTGTAGGTATGTGCATGTGAGTGCAGGTGTCAGCAGAGGTCAAAAGAGGGCTTTGGATTCCCTGGAGATGAGTTACAGGTGTTTGCAACCTAACTAACATGGGTGCTGGGAACTTAACTGAGGTCCTCTTCACAAGGAGTACATAGTAACAGCTGAGCCATCTCTCCAGCCCCTGGTCTCCTTTCTTAACCTCTAATTAGTCTTCAATTCGTGCTTCATTTACCTGATCCCCTCAGCATAACTCCTGAAGAGCTGTTTCCACTTCCTGTCTTTTCCCTCTTTCTCTGACCCCACCCACCACTCCAATGCAATGGCAGAAATGACCGCCAAATTATTAGCCCTAAAGTGGCTCAGCCTCTCTGAAGGAAACAGCTGGTCAGCTGTGACATCTCAAACACATTCTCACCATACGTATTTCCCCCAACTCACTGACCTCTCCTCCTCAGTCTTTGCTAGCTCTCAAGTTGAAGGGCTAGGGGTAGAGGTGGGGCTGTGAGGGTGTTAGTCACCTGACCTCTCTTTTCTTTCTACACTCTTTTACTCCGATGGTGAGAGAAACATGTATAGAAAACAAAGGGATATTTACTCAAATGGTCGGATGGGAGTAGGGGAGACATTTGTCAACCCAGGGTGGGAATATCACTTTCAATTTGAAGAGCATTTAATTGCGTAAATCATCTGCCACAGTCTAGGCAGTAATTATATTTAAACCCGTGGTGGTGATGTGTCTGTCTACAAGGGTATTTATGCAAATGGACATCTTTGCCTCAATCCGTGATGTATGGATCCAGGCGGAGGGACGGAAGAAATCTAGTCAAGGGGAATATTTACCCTGGTGAGGTTTCCCCTATTTTAAATATCCCGCAGTATCTAGAGAGTTGCACATCACACCGTAACCTCTCTTCAAAAACAGATAGATGGCACCCAGGTGACGGTGGCGCGCGCAGAATTAAGTTGGGTTAGGTTCTTTTACCTTGCAGAAAAGAAGCAGATCCATCCGGCCGGGACAGCAGGTTTTGTTCACAAGCAAAGTGCCGGAGGCTGCAGCCTGGGCCTCGAGGGCTGGACTCCGTTCCACTCTCAACGCGTACCTTGGCGTCCGCACGCATTACTACCTCCATAGCCGCAGACCACACGTGCAGCAGCGCTGACTACAGCTTCCGCCCAGCGACGCGCGCAGGCACACCGACTGCGCAGGTCTGGGCTGCAGGCCAATCGGTGCTTGCACGTGGCTTAGCGTTTACTAACAATCTGCCCCCCCCCCGCCCTCCGCCTCCCAATTCTGGCAAAACCATTGGACAACAGAGGAAAGGGGGCGGATCTTGGTTTGGGCCCATCCTGCTTAAGGCCCCCGGATCCTAAACGCTTGAGTCTCTAGTAAGGCTATCCTTCTCTTTGCCTGATTAAAAAGAACCGGTAATAAGACGATGGGCCTAAGTCTGAAGGGTAAGACCACCATCTTCACTCAGATTTGCGTCTTTGATGCCGGGTGACAGCGGAAAGATACGTGGTACGCAGGGTTGTGCTGCCATTTGAATGAGGCAGCTGAAGGGGCAGCCCGACGTCCGGCTGGGGAGAGCAGAGGAGGGAGAGCCAGCCAAAATGGCGGCTGCGATGTCTATGGCCAAGGTCTGGAGGCCGAGCCGCGTCCTGGGCCAGGCTGGCTTCCTGCTGCTGCGGCGGTCTGGGGCTCGGAACTTGGCTAGATATGTGAGTACCTGGGACCCACGGTGCTCCCCTGGGGAGAACTAGGGATGTAAAGGGTACTTTTATTATTTTTTTTTGCAGGGAGTGAAGGGAAAAGGACTGGGAGACCCCTTCGAGAGGAATTCAAGACTCCCACGTCCTTAGAGGAAAAGCAAGGCAGCTTCCTGTAGGTCCTGAGGAAGGGAGAAAAGTTGGGGGACAAGGGGGAAGTTGCCTTCGTTGCCTCGCATCTCACAGGAGAGGACCCTGGGGAGCGGGGACCCCTGAGAACGGGGAGACCTTGCCCTACAGGGGTTGCAGAATGACAGTACAAGGGAGAATGTCTTCTAGGCAGAGCCCCCTTGGAAGGGGAGAAAGGACTGGTCATGCTTTCACAGAGTACTATGGAACTCGCAGTGTAGACCAGGTTGGCCTTGAACTCACAGAGATTCGCCTACCTCTGCCTCCTGAGTGCTGGGATAAAAGGCGTGTACCATCACACCCGGCCCTAAATTCTAATTGTAAATGAATTGAGTAAGAAACTTTTTTTAATCTAGTGGCCCCTGATTAAAAGTCAAGCCAGGAACTTTATGTATTGGGAATATTGTTTGCAGGAGGCCTCAGTATGTATTTATGAATTCATGAAGGGAGCAAAGGAGTTCGAGAAGTCCAGATGGGACCCTCTGCTCCACATTCTGTTTTTGATTGATTGATTGATTGATTGATTAATTGATTTAATGTGTATGGGTGTTTGCCGGCCCCATGTGCATGCAGGAGTTTTCGGAGGCTGGAAGAGGTCCTTGTATACCCAGAAACTGGAGTTACAGGTGGTTGTAAGCTGCCATGTGGGTGCTGGGAACCAAGCCCAGGTCCTCTGCAAGAGCACTAATCACTCTTAACTCCTGAATCATCTCTCCAGCTCCTATTTGTTTTATGACAGGGACTGATTCAGTAGTCCAGGCTAGCCTTTAACTCGGGACCCCACTTGGGAGGTGGAGGCAGGAGGATCAGGAATTTGAGGCTAGTTTGGGCTACATGATCTCCTGTTTAAAAAAAAAAAAAACTACACCAAAATTCTAGCTGATAGCTTCTGGTTAGAGGATTAGAATAGAAGAGCTTTGAAGTAAAATTCCAGATAAAACAGATCTTGTGAAGTCGTTGAGTTCGGGAGCTGCACACTTGAGTTCAGGTCTCTGCCCTGGCACTTTCCTGTGTGTAGCCTTGGGCAAGGAACTGCTCCTTGCACTTCTTTGGACTTAATTTCCTTCCCTGTACTGTGCTGAGTGGACATGTCATACATTGTGGAAATACAGGAATTGATGTGAACTGGCTCAGCATGCTAGGGCAGTGGGAATGTTGGCTACTGTTAGTGATGGTGGAGGGAAGGGGCAGAGACCTGAGATTGGGAAAGGACTTGGCCTATGTTGGGGCTGGACTGCCATGCCCTGGGGAAGATGTCTGATCCTCTCTCCAGGACTTAGGGCAGGGAAGGTGGAATCTGTAAATAGAAGCTCTTAGTCAGAGGAGACAGGAATGAACAGGGGAACAGGATGGGCTAGGACAAGGTGTAGGTACTAGGAAGGTTGCCAGTGGAAGTAGTTTGCAGAAGGCGGTGGGGACAGGACAGTCTCCTGCTTGCTGACAGTTCTCTTTGGCTTTTTTTTTTTTTTTAAGCTTTCAAATCCTTGACTGCTGATTTCAGTTCTAGGAACTCATTGGCGGTAAGGAGGCATGAGGTGCCCTAGGGAAAGGTCATTGTGGCGGATTAAATCTGTAATTCTCCTTCTTATATCCTCCCTCCCTACCATCCCTATCTCCAGTGTTGATTATGTAGCTAAGGATGACCTTGAACTTTGGATCCTTCCTACCTCCACCTTCCCAGTGCTGAGATCACAGGCATGCACCACCATGCCTGATTTTATGTGATGCTGGGGATTGAACCCAGTGCTTACTAGGCAAGCACTCTGCCATGTGAACCGTATTCCCAGTCTCTCCTCCCTCTCCCGCTTTCTGTCCCTCCTTCCTCCTTCCCTCCCTCCTCCCTCCCTCCCTCCCTTCCTTCCGTGTGTGTGAGTGAGTGTTAGGCCTGCATGTATGTAGGTGTACCTGTGTTGTACAATGTCCACAGAGGTCAGAAGAAGGCATCAGATCCCCTGAAACTGGAGTTACCAATGACTGTTAGCCACCTTGTGGATGCTGGGATTTGAACCCAGGTCTTCTGCAGTAACAGCATAGCCATCTTGCCAGCGTCTTTCCTTCCTTTTAATTAATTAATTTATTATTTATTTATTTGTCTTTATGAGACAGGGTCTCCCTGTAGTCCCAGGTGGCCTGGAAATCACTATGTAGACCAGGCTGACCTCAAACTCACAGAGATCTGCCTGCCTCTGCCTCCCCAGTGCTTGATTAAAGGTGTGCACCACCACGCCTTGCTCTTTCTTCCTTTTAAAAAAGCAATTATTGATCAAAAAGACCAAAAAAAAAAAAAAAGCAATTATTGAGCCAGGTGTGGTGGCCCATGCCTTTAGTCCCAGCATTTGGGAGGCAGAGGCAGGCAGATCTCGCTGTACTCTCTGTGCTTTTACAGGCTCTTGTCACCGTGCCTGGCTTTTTTATTTTATGTGTATGAGTGTTTTGCCTGCATGTGTGTAAGTGCACCCCATTTTGCAATGCCCATGAAGGTCAGGAGAGGATGTTAAATCTCCTGGAACTGGAGTTATGGATGGTTGTTAGCTGCCATGTGGGTGCTGGGAATTGGACCTGGGTCCTCTAGGAGAGCAGCCAGTGCTCTTAACCGCTGAGCTATCTCTCTAGCCCCTCATTTTCTTAAGCACAGTGTCCCCTCTACTTTTTTTTTCTTCAACTTGTTCTCAGTTTTTCTCCCACTTGTTCTCACTTTTTGTTTGCTTTTTGAGATCAGGTTTTTCTTTGTAGCCCAGGCTGGTCTCAAATTTACTATGTAACCCAGGCTATCCTTCAACTCATGGTCCTCTTGCCTTAGCCCCTCCTGCTTCAGCCTCTGGAGTGCTCAGACTGCAGGCATGTGCTGCCATGTTCAACCTTTGCCTTTCTGAGTGGAGGGAAGTGGTACTGGTGGTAGCCAAAGAGGGTTTTAAACCAAGGTGATAGTGTAATGTAAATTTTTAAAAATTTATTATTTTTATTTTTATGTGTATATGTGTATAAATGTACCTGTATCATGCAATGCCATGCCTGTGGAGGTTAGAAGCAAGCATTAAATTCCCCTGAAACTGGAGTTATGGACGGTTGTTAGCTACCATGTGGGTGCTAGAAATCGAGCCTGGCTCCTCTGCAAGAGCAGCCAGTGCTCTTAACTGCTGAGCCATCTCTCCAGCCCTTATCATTTTAACCCAGTTAGTGCTGCCCATATGTGAATGGGCATGGGTGTTGTGGGGTGCATCACCAGAGAAGACCACTCAGACAAAGTTTTGCCGAATGAAAGTCCTTACTAGCCAGAGCTACTACACAAGGGTGATGGGAACCCAAGTGTGTAGCCCTGAGCCATCTCTAGGGTAGGCTTTTATACAGAGAAACCGTAACCAGGGGTGAAAAGTTTTAAGTTCCCAAGTTTACAGGTGGAGAGCCCCCTTAACAATTTCTATTCTATTAAGTAATAGTTACTTAAAAAAATAATTTGTTGATAATTTCATACATGCGTATAAGGTGTTTTGATCAAATCCATGCCCACTCCCTCCCCTCCAACTCCTCCCATATCTCCCCATCACTTTTTTTCTGATAACTTCATGTACTTTTTCTTCTTTCATTTATTATTTTTTTAATGGGGCTTTTGGATACTCTAACATTCCCTCCCTCTGAAGAGGTAACCCTAAAATCTTTTAAGGATTAGATTAAAGCTCCCAAATATTTTTGACATTTTTGGCCTTTGGAATGGAGTATGTTACTAAGAGTCCCTAGGACATTGTGAGTTTTAGCCAAGAAACTGGCTACTTTTCTTTGGGGTCTTTTTACCCTAACTGCCTAGCCAATTCCTACCTCCTATTCTTATCACACTATCCTCTGAAGAGGTTACGGGAATCAGGATGCAGACCACTCTGGCTTCTTCCATGCTGAACAGGGACGCAGGGTGAACAATTACTATTTTGCAGAAGCAAGCCAAGGATAACCTACAGAAGGCATAAATCTGCAGTTAGCAGGTGAACTGTAGGACGCTCTGACCTGTTCCCAAGACAACCAGGGTCCAGCTGAAATGTGTTCCCATACCCTGGGCCAACTGCCTGATAGTTTCAGAGACTAGAGTCAGCCTAAACTTTAACATGGTGGTAGCTATGGTCAAGAAGGTGCCCTATTACATGGGGTCATCCACTGGGGCATGGGGAACTTTCCAGCGGTCACACTCCCGAAGAAAAGTGACTTCGTCTCACCCACCAGCCATCACCTGGTAATAGCTCCTCAGCTGCAGTGGAGCCTTGGGAGCCCCTCCGTGGTCCCTGCTGGAACTTTTAACTGACTTGATCTCGAGCAGCTCTTGTGTAGGTACCCACAGCTGCTGTGAGTCCATGTGTGCCACAGCCATGTCAGATCCAAGGAACATCACTTCACCGCACTCCTCCCCATTCTCTGGCTCTTCCATTCTTCCTGCCCCTTCTTCTCTGATGTTCCCTGAGCTTTTGAGGTCAGGGAACTGGTGTAGGTGTTTGTCTAAGGCTGACCAATCCCAGTCCTTCTTTTCAGCACCTCTGTAGTAAGTAGCTTTTCTTCCAAGGTCAGGAGCAGCACAAGTCTATGTGTATAAACAAGTATTTAGAAGGCAGTTTGACAACATGACCATTTAGCAAAACAATATAACAGGTTCTCCCAGGGCCCGTGACTTCCCTAGCCATGAGTTTTGACCATGTTTTCAGTACCTGGCATGAATTCCCTCCAGTGGAACAGGCCTCAAATCCAGTCATGAGAGTGATTGGTTAACCCCATAAACAGTCTTGCCACTATTGTACCAGTGGATACATCTTGCTTGGCAGGTTGTATTGTCACATGCAGAGTCTAGGCTAGATGAGACCCTTGATGTCTTTTACCTCCCAGCTGCCTGCATGGAATCTTCCAGCACTGTGAAAGAACCTTATATATTGTTGGTGGGGGTATAAACTAGTGTAGCCACTCTGGAAATCAGCCTGCAGTTTTCTCAAAAAATTAGAAAGTAGACAGGCATGGTGGCACACGCCTTTAATCCCAGCACTTTAATCCCAGGCAGAGGCAGGCAGATCTCTGTGAGTTCAAGGCCAGCCTGGTCTACATAGTTCCAGGACAGCTGGGGCTACAGGGAAACCCTGTCTCAAAAAGACCAGAAAATAAAAAAAAAGAACTAGAAATAGATGTACCTTATGACCCAGCTATGCCACTACTAGGACTATACACCCAGGGACTTTATATCTAATGACAGAGGTACATGGACACATGTTCATTGCTGCTCTGTACACTATAGCTGGGAAATGGGACCAATCAAGATGTCCATCAGCTGATGAATGGATAATAAAAGCGTGGTATATATACATAATGGAATATTACTTAGCTGTAAAGAAAAATGAAATAATGGAGTTTGCTGGTAAATGAATGACACTAAAAAAAAAAATTATACCGAGGCAGGTAACCCAGAGCCAAAAGACAAACACTGCACGCTCTCATGTGAGAGTCGTAGCTTCAAATATTCTTTAAAAATTTTAAATTAATTAATTCATTTTTGAGACAGGGTCTCTCTGTAGCCCCAGCTGTCCTGGAACTCACTATGCAGACCAGGCTGGCCTTGAACTCACAGAGATCCGCCTGCCTCTGCCTCCCGAGTGCTGGGACTAAAGGCGTGCACCACCACGCCTGGCCCTAAAAATTTATTTTTATGTTATGTGCATGAGTAAACACATGTATGCAGGTACAGCAGCATGTGCATACAATGCCTGTGGAGGTCAGGAGAGGGAGTTGAATCCCCTGGAACTGGAGTTACAGATGATTGTTAACCTCCATGTGGGTGTTGGGAACCAGACCGTGGTCCTCTACAAAAGTAACTGGTGCTCCTAACTGCTGAGCTATCTCTCCAGCCCCTCAATTCCTTTTTTTTTTTTTTTTGGTCTTTTTGAGTCAGGGTTTCCCTGTAGCCCAGCTGGCCTGGAACTCGCTATGTAGACCAGGATGGTCTCAATTTCACAGAGAGCCACCTGCATCTGCCTTCTAATTGCTGGGATTAAAGGCATGCACCACCACACCTGGCTTCAAATTTTTTAAAAAACACATTATTTTCATTTTATGTATATGAGTGTATTGCCTGCATGTATGTAAGTGTACCCGTGTAACGTAATGCCCGTGCAGGTCCAAAGAGAGTGTCAGATTCCCTGGTACTGGAGTTAAGGACAGTTGTTAGCTGCCACGTGGGTGCTGAGAACTAAACTCGAGTCCTCTGCAAGGTCAGCCAGTGCTCCTGACTGCAGAGCCATCTCTCCAGCCCCGCAGATCTTTGCTTTTGGCCTTAACAAGGATGCGAGTGGAAGCTAGGGAAGTAGGAATGGGCCATGGTGGGCAGGCACATTGAAGGTGTGGGGAGCAGAATAGAGGTGCAGTGAAAGTAGAGCAGGAAATACTGGGGGCAGAAGGTTTCAGGCAGCTAGTAGAGTGGTGGTTTGGGAAGCAAGGAGCCGGGAAGCTTGAAGTGTGCAAGAAGAAGCTACTTTGGAACCTTTGATCTTGCAAACCAAGTAAAGAGATAGGGGAGGGGATCTTAGAACATACATGATATGAAAGAGCAAGGGAGAGCTAAAGGGTTAAGTGAAGACGGGGACAGGGTTGGAGAAAGGAGAGGAAGGAAGTGGGTTAACCAAAACTAAGACACTTGATGAACTAGTTTGTAAGCTCTTTAAAATACAATTTTTTGGGCAGGGCTGGTGGTGTACCCCTTTAATCCCAACAGTCAGGAGGCAGAGGCAGGCAGATCTCTGTTTGAGGCCAGCCTGGTCTACACAGTGAGTTCCAGGCCAGCTGGGGCTACAGGGAGACCCTGTCTCAAAAAACTCCACTTTCTTCTTCTTTTTTTTTTAAAAGGAGTTTAGGGGTTGGAGAGATGGCCTAGTGGTTAAGAGGACTAGGTGCTCTTGAAAAGATCTGGGTTTGGTTCCCAGCACCTACTTGGCAGCTAACCATTTCTAACGCCAGTTCTAGGGTATCTGACACCCTTTTCTGGCCTCCAGGGGCATTACACATGGGTGCACTGTAAAACACTCATACATATAAAAAAATCAATCAAAAAATAAAGTTTAAACAGAAGTACCCCATGAACAGTGCTGCTCCCAGGAGACATGGATAAATTAGATGAAAATCTCACTGCGAGGCCTGGATTACCTCCCTATGAGTTATTGGTCAGAGAGGCCTGAGAAGCACCACAAAACAGTATAGGTTATTACCAGTGCTCTTGATTGCCCCCCATAACTAGATGGTAAGACCCTGTTGCTGAAGACATCATGTACTTTGGTTGCAGGAGACGGAGAAGTCAGTCTTGTCTTCTTTTGAGACATGGTTTCACTCTAGTCAGGCTGGTCTAGAACTCAGCTATGCAGCCCAGGCTAGCCTGGAACGGGTGGCTCCTCCTGCCTCAGCCTTAGAAGTGTTGGATTGTAGGCCAGAGCTGCCGTCCCCAGCTGGAAGGTGCAGTCTTCCAGGTGGAGGTGAAGGGCTGGAGTCTTGGGAGCAGGTTGGGGAGGTTGGGTGACTGGGCAGGTAGGGCAGGAAGAGAGCCAGGGCTCTCTGTTTCTTCGTCTTTTGCCCTCCTGCCTCTGCCCTCTCCATCTGTGCTGAACACCCTGCTGCCCTGGAGCTGTTTGGTGACTCTCCGCCCTTTCTCCCCCTGCTGTCATAGCAGCAGATGTCTTTACTGCCCAGGGAGCAGTGGAGGAAGGAAATCCACCTTGTCAGGGAGTCATGAGTCAGCTGTACAGCTACTACCCCAGGGCCAGGCCTTGGAGTTGTCTCACCTCTCACCCTCACTTGTGGGGCGAGCACAGTTTCTTCTGTGCTGGAATAAGGTGCAGTGAGAGCCAGGTCTCTGCTCTTCATCACTAAAGTTATGGCTCCAGCTCAGCGGTTCTGGGCTCCAGTGCTCTGAGCAGTATCTGCAAGTGGTACGTACAAGTGGGTACTGTGGGCTGAATGGAGATGGCTGTCACTGATCTCCCTGCTGGTCACTGATCTCCCTGATTAGAGGAATCTGTTTCCCTGCATTTGTGTCCAACCCTTGGCCTAGGGATGGAATGTAGCCAAGGATAATTCTGAATGGTGCCCAATACAACATTATAAAGTTACTTAAACTTAGATTTATATTTTTTGTAACTCTATGGTGAGGTTCCCAAGTGTGACCTTTATAGATGACAACATTGTGTTAAAATGTTAAAAGGTTAGATACCCCTGCAAGTATTGACTGATGGCTTAAGAAATCCGGCTTGTTTTTCTTGTATCATGAAAGTCTTTGTGGCTTATAATTCAATGTAATATTCCTTATTTAATGACAGCCACATGGCGAGAATCCTACTACAAGCGGGAGAACTGAGGCTCAGAGTACAAGGTCTGAACATGGAGCCCTGGACTCCAAAGCCGAACTTCCTTCTCAGCTTCCAGGAGAAGGGAGGAAGCTTAGGTTCTAGTCCTGCAACAGCACACACTTAGCCCAGGCCCAGCCTGTGCTACCAGCTTCTGCCTGCCTCTTCCAACTATTGGACTGGGTGGAAATTTGGGAAAAGCTGATGACCTCAGGCCCCAACATGTCCTTTTCCATCTGCATTTTAGTTCTGTTGACCACCTTTTTTTTTTTTTTTTTTTTTTTTTCGGACAGCTATCGTACTCTGTAGACCCGGCTATCTTCCAACCCACTGTATAGACCACACTGACTTTAACAGATCTCCAACTGCCTTTGCCTCCAGAATGCTGACATCAAAGGTGTGCACCACCATGCCAGGCGTGAACTTCTTTATGTTTTAAAAAATATTTTGTTATTTCTATGTGTTCGAGTGCTTTACCTGTATGTATGTGAGTGCACCTAATGTTGTGCAATACCTACAGAAGAGGGTGTCAGATGCCCTGGAACTGGAGTTAGTTATAGTTATGTGTTCGAGTGCTTTACCTGTATGTATGTGAGTGCACCTAATGTTCAATACCTACAGAAGAGGGTGTCAGATGCCCTGGAACTGGAGTTAGTTATAGACATGTTAGCCGCCATGTGGGTGCTGGGAACTAAACCCAGGTCCTGCAAGAATAGCCCGTACTTTTAACCTTTGAGCCATCTCTCCAGCCTCTGGCCTTGAACTTCTTATTCTCCTACCTCTGTCTCCAGACTGGTGGGATTATAAGTGCATTCCACCATTGCTAGCTTTTTGTTTGTTTGTTTGTTTTTGAGACAGAGTCTCTGTGTAGCCTCAGCTGGGTCTAGAACTCACTGTGCAGACCAGGCTGGCCTTAATCTCACAGAGATATACCTGCCTCCACCTCCCAAGTGCTGGGATTAAAGACATATGCCATGACACTTGTCTCTTTTTGGGATACAGGGTCTCACTGTGAAGCTCTGGTTGGCCTAGAACTCTACGTAGACCAGGCTGGCCTCGAACTCATAGAGACCCGCTTCACTTGCCCCCTGAGTGCTAGGATTAAAGGTGTAAAGGTGTGTGCCACTCCTGGCTTTTGTTTTGTTTAGTATTCATAGCTGGGATGGAGCTGTGGACCTTGTGGGTGCTAGACCAGTGCTCTGCCACTGAGCTCCTCCCCTAGCCCTCATTTACAGATCTTGAAAGGATTTATTTGTGGTTCTAGGATTGAGCAAGACTTCATTCTGTGAAACAGTGAGTGTTCTCATCAAAACCAAGCAGAGGAGTTTGGTTTTCTAGACAGCCAAAGGCTGAAGAAGGCCAATGGAAGGGACACAGAGCAGGTTGGTCTGCTCACAGTGGCTTTCCCTGTAAGGTGGTGACAGTAGCAGATGACAAAACAGCTGGTGGTTCACATGGGGCCCTTCACGTTCCTTGTTTTGATAAGGATTAAGGCAGAGGGAACTTTTGATGCTGATATATAAGGAATGACAGCTAACCTTCCTCAAAGTAGCTTTCTGGACTCACACTCTAGGTTTATGTATTGAAAACCAGAGTAATACTTTCCTTGGAGGGTGCTGGTGAGGATTAAAGGGGGGTACTTTATTTTGTTTAGGTTTTAAAACAGGGTCTCATGTACTCCAGGCTGGCCTCAAACTCTGTGTAGCAGAGGATGGCCTTGAACTCCTGATACTTCTGCCTCTACTTCCTGAGTGCTGGAATGATAGGCATGTGTTACACGCCCAGTTGATGTGCTGGAGATCAAACCCCAGCCTTGTGTATGCTAAGCAAGCAGCCTACCAACTGAGCCATATCCTCTGCACAAGAGAGTAGTTCTTTTATGTATGTATTATACCAATATACATAATATGCATATTTTATGTGCATGAGTGTATTGCCCGCATCTAAGTGCAGCCATGTCGTGTCATGCATTGCCAGGTCAGAAGAGGGTGTCAAATCCCCTGGAACTGGAGTCACAGACATGGGTTAGGTGCTGGGAATTGAACCCAGGTCCTCTGAAAGAGCAGCCAGTGCTCTTGACCACTCAGCCCTCTCTCCAGCCCCCAAGAGAGTAGTTCTTAAGGAACACTTACTACATGTTCCCAACACTGAGTAAGTCAGGACTTGAGAAATGGCAGCCACCGCTTTTCTCCAGGGGCAGTCACCGGCTTGATGTTGACTGATTCAGTGAAGGAGTGAAGTGCCCTCTCGGGCTTTGCAGCTACAGCACCTGGGAAGCCTAGAGTTGTGCAAGCCTCTGGGTCCCTGAGGCCTGGAAAGCCCTATTGCTTTCAATGCCTCTCCTGGGCAGCTGCCTTAGAAGGGGAGAGGCTCTCTCTGCTGAGGTTGGCCCAGGGCCAAGACTTAGAGGGCGTGGATAGGCTGGGTTGTCCTCCAGAAGAAAATTTAGAGTTAGCTAGCCCACCCATGAAGATGTATATGATCTGAACACCACCTTCTTCCAGCCTCCCTGGGCACTAGTGGTCCAGCAGCCCCTGCAGATGCCAACATTATCACTTGTGAACTGTGTGACCTTGGACAAGCTGCTTAGCTCCTGTGAACCTCAGGTACCACCTCTGTTTGTTGGAGGTACCTTGTTAGGGGGCTCTGGAGTTCAGTGAGCACAGAAAGTGCTTCATGTGGCACCTGGGTCCGTAATTAACTAAAAAAAAAATGATTTGTTTTTATGTGTGTGTGTGTGTTTACGTGTGTGTATGCCCACGAAGGCCAGAGTTAGATCCCCTGGAGCTGGAGTCACAGGCAGTTGTGAGCCTCCTGATGTGGGTGCTGGGAACCAAACTTCTGTCTTCTAGAAGTGCAGCAAGTGCTTTTAAGTGCTGAGCTGCCTCTATCCCCACAGCTGGTTCTTATTAATTGACCTGCACCAACGCCTGGTCTCTGGTGTCTCAGAATTCGAGAGTGTGAGACCAGAGCCTTTTGTTGGTTGGTTGTTTGGTTTGGTTTTGTTTTATTTTTAGATCCTCCTGCCTGGGCTCCTGAGTGCTGGGATTCCATGCCTATGCCACCACACCGGGCTTTGGAGTCTGTTGTTTCTCAGGCCCAAAGTGTTCCTTGCCTTTGCCTTCCTGCCCCAGCAACCTTGCTCAGCTCCCCTCTCCCAGGGAACTTTGCTGCTACTCCATCTTTCAGTGACTGGTGCAGAGGATTGCCAAAGTGCCTTTACCCTCTACAGCTTGTAAAGCAAGTGTTCTTCCCTTTATGAGGGTACAGGTTCACAGCAAAGGGCTCCCATCCAGTGCCATGTGGCTGGACAGGGACAGAACCAGGATTCCAAGCCAGACAGGTTAGTTCCAGCCATCATGCCACCCCATCCCTCTCAGCATCTGCCATGTGCCCTCCCGCCCAGCCCCCCATCCTAGCTCTCATCCAGATCTACCTTGGAGCAGATATTCAGTATCTGCATGCTTGACCAGAACAGTTATCAAACATACCTGTTAGTGTCAGGCATGGTGGCACACACCTGTAATCCCAGCAGTTGGGAGGCAAAGGCAGGTGGATCTTTGTGAGTTTGAGGCCAGCCTGGTCTACATAGTGAGTTCCAGGCCAGCTGGGGCTACAGGGAGACCCTGTCAAAAAGACAAAAAAAATACCCAAAACAACAGCAAAAAAACCATATCTGTTAGTAGCTCGTTAATGTGTCAGGCCCTTGGATGAATCATGTGCACATGTTAACTCCTATCATCCTCATGATAGCCCATGAGAGTGTGCACAGGAAGAAGAAACAGGCTCAGGGAGTTTCAGTGATGCGGTGGACTGCTTGTGCCTGTGCTGTTAGCTGTGGTGCCTTAGGGAATGACTCTTTGGGATCTGCCCCAGACCTGCTAGGAGGCCCAGGCCACCCAGCCCAGACCACCCAGCAGGGATCTGGTCTCCTATGGCTTCAAGACTTTGTGTAAATCTGTGTAGCTTATGCCATTCTAAGTCATTGGCTGGCTACCAGGTCAACCCCTACCCCCTCAAACCAAAGGGAAAATGGGTGTGGTCATATTCCTTTTCTGTAGGCATTTTACCACTCACCCTGTAATGGGCTTGTCCTCAGGACTGGACCTTAGCAGAGCTCACTGAATCAGCATGGTGACTTCCTGAAGTTGGAGAGCATGCGCTGGGCCTACTTCAATGTGTGAGGCACACCTGGGCATCCTGATGGCAGCTGTCCATCCTTGAAAGGCTCGACCTGCTTCCATACCCTAGCTCATTCTCAGCTAGCAGGCTCTGCCCTCCTGACTCCCATCACCCCTAGCTCACCCCAGACACCAGCTTCCTGTTACCTCCCCTGTGTCTCTGAAGTCCATGCTAGGGCTGCAGTCCGAGATTAACAGCCAATTTAAGGTGCACCCAGCCTTTCTCCTTGTCTTCCAAAGGTGCTTATTTCTGTTTTCCCTCTTTCTCTCCTAGGGTTTGTGGTTTTTTGGTGGGTTGATTTGGTTTTTGAGAACAGGTCTCACTCTGCAGGTCTGGCTTTGAGCTCCTTATTCTCGTCCTTCAGCCTCCTAAGTGAGATTTTAGGCACTGTCATCTCACCTGCCTTTTTTTTTTTTTTTTTTTTAAAGACAGTTTTGTGTATTCCAGGCTAGTCTGAAACTTACTGTGTAGCCAAGGATGACCTGGAACTTCTGATTCTCCAGTCTCTTCCTCTAGAGTTCTGAGTTATAGGCAGGTGGATCTTTGTGAGTTTGAGGCCAGCCTGGTCTACATAGTGAGTTCAAGGACAGCTCCCAGGGCTATAGAGAGACCCTGTCTCAAAAAGACAAAACAAAAAAGACCATACCTGTTAGTAGCTTGTCACGTGTCAGGCCCTTGAATGAGTCATGTGCACAAGTCAACTCCTGTCATCCTCATGATAGCCATGTCTAGGTGATGTGGTGCTGAGGATTGAATCCAGGGCTTTGTACGTACCAGGCAGACACCGCCAGCTGAGCTATATCCCAGCCCTGGTTTTGTTTTCAAATTAAACATTTTTGTTGTTGTTGAGCCAGTATCTTCCCATGTGGTACAGGTTGGCCTTGAACTCATGATTCTCCTGCCTCAACCTTGAGAGTACTCAGATTCTAGGTATGCACTATCACATCTGCCTGTCTTTGTTTCAGAGATAAGATCTTGCTGTCTAGCTCAGGCTGGCCTCAAAGTTGCAATCTTTCTTCCTCAGTCTCTCAAGCACTGGGACCACCACGCCTGCTCTTCTACCACTTTGTTTTAATTGCAAGTGCTTTTTGAGACAGGGTTTCCCTGTAGACCCAGTTGGCCAGGAACTCATTATGCAGTCCAGGCTGGCGTCTGCCTCCTGAGTTCTGGGATTAAAGGTGAGCCATCACACCTGGCTTCTTCTACTGCCTTTTAAGCACCAATATGCCCAGGCCTGCACTGACCCACCTGTGTACATTACACTTGGAACTTTGCACACAGCTCTCTGGAGCTGGTGATTGTGGAAAGCCACATGGTGAGCTCAGAATTGGAGCTCAGGTCAGTCTGACTCCAGAGCCACTGAACCCAACCACTCATTCATCCGTTTGTTGGGTAATTTCCTGTCATATACTTGTTGTGTTAGGCAACTTGGACACCTCCCCTGCTTTGTGGCATGTGTGGGAGACAGATATGAAACAAACCTTCCAGATACCAAGATCCTGGTGTGCCTGCTGCTCAGTGCAGGGAGCACGTTTCTGTGAGAGGCTTGGTGCTTCCTCCTTGCTCAAAGAAGGCACGACTGCCCTAGTGGTACCAGGTCTCAACCTGCCCTCCCTTGGGGAGTATAATTTCCTCACAGCCACAACTGCAGATAATCATGTGCATGTAACTCACTGGCCCACTGGAACCTCAGCACCTTGTCCGCTGCAATTAAAAGGAGGGAGGGGACACATGTGAGATCCCGCTTGTGGGGAACCAGCTCTTCAGCTCCCCTGGAAGTGAGCCACAGCTGCTGACTGAGGACGCCTGGCAGCCATGGGGAGAAAACGACGCAGATGTGTGGGAACTGGGCGGGCTGTGGCAGTTGGGTTTCAGGGTTCTGGGGGGTCTGAATCACAGCCCTGCCAAGCCTAGAAGTCTACTTGTGAGGTGTGTTTTTAGATCGTGGCCTGGTGCTGGCTATTTCACCTACCTATGCCTGTTTCCTCACCTCTACTGACCATGGCAAGCCATCTTGCTTCACAGATGCCCTGAGGAGGCAAAGCACAGCCTGGCACATAGCTAATTAGCCACCTCCTGCTGAGCATTTAGGCTCCTTCTGACCTTCCCAGCCATGCTGACTGTATAGCCTCCCAGGGTTTTGTTACCTGCTGCCTGGCAAAGTCAAGGAATGGAGAGGCAAATGACCGAGAAAGGAGGTTTGCTTAGCCACAAGCCAGCGTCCCTGGAAGATGGCTTAGTTCCAGGGACTGTCTTCCCCCTTGCACTCTAGGAGAGTTTCTCTGGGAAGATAAAATGGGAAGGTATGTGGGTCCCAGGCACTCAGTTGTCCAGTGTGTTGAGAACGTGGGCTGTGTGTCTTCTCGGAGGTGGGGAAGTTGCAATCCAGTGAGTCTAAAGACACAGTTGTCAAAGCTGCTGTGTTAGTTAAAGGGGCCTGGGTCCGGTTTTTGTTGTGGTCAGCTTTTCCGGCAAGTGCTTTCCAGTTATGGCCTCTTCCTGGAACCTGGGACTAGGGAGTGCTTGTGAAGAGGGAAGATCTGTGCATTCCTAGCTGACTTTAGAGCAGTTTATTTACTTTTATATTTATTTCTCATTTTGAGACAGGGTCTCATGCAACCCAGACTGGCCTTGAATGCCTGAGTCTCTTGCCCTCCACCTCCCAGGTGCTGAGATTACACGTGTACACCACCATGCCCAGTTTATGTGATGTTGGGGCTCAAACCCAGGGCTTTGTGCATGCTGGGGAAGCACTCTACCAATTGGGCCACATCCCCAGCCTCATTTTTTTTTTTTTTTTTTTGAGACATGGTCTTCCTGTAGCCCCCAGCTGGCCTGGAACTCACTACATAGAGCAGGCTAGCCTCGATCTCACAGAAAGCCGCCTGTATCTGCCTCCTAAATGTGGAGGATTAAAGGTGTGGACTACAACGTCCCACTTGCTTTGTGCTTTTTAGAAACAGGCTTTTACTCAGTAGCCTAAGCTGGCTTTGTGGCAGGCAGTTCTCCTCCCTCAGCTTCCCAAGTACCTGGATTGTGAGTTTGTACCACCACACCTGGTTTTTTGTTCTGTTTTTGTGACCAGCTCCTCTGTATCCCAGAGCAGGCCTTGAACTCGAGATCCTCTCACTCAGGCCTCTTGTGTACTGTGATTACAGGTGTATGCTACTGTGTGTGGGTCTGTATTCAATTCATGTATAAAAGGGAGATCAGGCAGGGCAAAAAACTGGTGGGAATCTGCTCTCCACAGAGGGGGCTGGCTTATGTGACGCTTTTTATGGTGGGAGGAGGTGTGGTGTCCCCACAGCACCCCTGGCCGCTCAGAGCTCCTTCCAGTTTCCACAGAGGACACAGCCAGCCCTCGCTTTCTGGCTTTTGCCTGTACCAGTCCTGGAATAATCCCTCTCTGACTGTTCATTACCCAGCTGGGCTCAGTTTTTATGTCACTCCTCAGAGGTGCCCTTGTTCTTCTCTTGTGTGTGAGGTGATAGGACTCACCCCTATCTTCTCTGCCAGACTGTAAGTACAGGTGTCTGTAGTTCTCAGAGCCTTGCACAGGGCTGGGAACAAAGCAGATGCTCAAATATTTGTTGAATGGAGTTTGGCTTTAGCACAGGAGCTGACCTCACACGGAGAGGGCACTGACGTATATAGGGTGGTTTGCCAAGTGAGACGAGGGGAGGACAGAGATGTGATAGAATTCATCAGAGCTAACCTCTCTAATCCCAGCATTCTGGAGGCTGAGGCAGGAGGATCATAAGTGCATGGTCAGCCTGGGCTACATAGCAAGAGCCTGTCTCAAAAAAAGATATGACTTACATATACCCTGTTGAACATTATATAATGTTCCTTTAAAGGAACATGTTTTCTTTTAAAGCTCATTGAGGATTCTTTAAATTTTGTTTTGTTTTTAGATAGAGTCTTATGTGTAGCTCAGGCTGACCTCAAACTCTATATAGCTGAGGATGACCTTGAACTGATCTTTCTGTCTCTACTCCCAAGTGCTGGGAGGATAGGCATACACCACTGTACCTGGCTAACCCTCACATTTCCCTGAGGCATTTTCAGTTCTCTAGGCCAGAGGACACATGAAGGGAGAAGTCACTTTACTTTGTCACCCAGGAAGAGAGTTGACCCCAGGTAGCCTGACTCTTAGGAGCCTAAAGACTGAAGCCCTTTTCTGGATGGTCTCCTAGGTGTGTGATATTGGGGTCATCTAGGAACCCTGTAGTGGTCTATTTATAGCAGTGAGAGATGAAAGGGGTCCTTGCGGTGAGACGGGAGACCTCAGGTACCAGGATGAAGAGTTTGGACCTGTGATAATGAGCCTGGTGAGGGCTACCGGCTCTCGAGTTGCTTGCTGCCCCAGTACTTCATCTTGCGGTGGCTTGGCTGGGAGATGTTACTGTTGCTTTGCTGCTTCAGTGCTGAAGCTCAAACTCAGGGCCTTGTCCAGGCAGCTGCTAGATGTTAGTGCTTTTGCCCCTTTTTAACCATTTTTTTTGGTTTTATTTATTTTTATTTTATGAGTGTTTTGTCTGTATGTGTGTAAGTGCACATGTATACCTGTGTGTGCATTGCCCGTGGAGGCCAGAAGAGGGCATCAGATCTTCTGGAAGTTAAGGACGATTGTTAGTCACAATGTGGGTTCTGGGAACTGAACCTAGGGCCTCTGCAAGAGCAGCCAGTACTGTTAGCTGAGCCGTCCCTCTAGCCCCATTAAATTTTTTTTAATCCCAATTTTATAGAAGAGGGAGCTGTGATAAGTGTTACTGAAACAAGAATGCTAGGCACAATGGTATGTGCCTATAACCCAGGGCTTAGGAGGCTGAGGCAGGAGGCTCATCAGGATAAGGTTAGCTTGGGCTATGTAGGAAAACCCCATCTCAAGTAAAAAAGTAATTAAAAAGCACTGAATGTGGTGTTGCACACCTGTAATCTCAGCACTTGGGAGGTGGAGGCAGGAAGATCAGATGTTCTATCCTCAAATAAGAATCAAGTTTGAGGCCAGCCTGGGCTACATGGGCGCCTCACCCACCATACTGTCAGCCACTAAGGTTGAGCCAGCTTGACCTTCAGTGCTGCTTCTGATGGAGGGTCCCCCCCCGCCTCTCTTCCCCAGCACCCCCACAGACAGCAGCAGCAGCAGTTCTCATCCCTGGACGACAAACCCCAGTTCCCAGGGGCCTCGGCAGAGTTTGTAGACAAGCTTGAGTTCATCCAGCCCAATGTCATCTCTGGCATCCCCATCTACCGTGTCATGGACCGCCAGGGCCAGATCATCAACCCCAGCGAGGACCCCCACGTGAGGCTGCTCCCCTCTCCTAAACCCCCATGCCCATGTCCCTTGCCCTACTCCCTGGGTCCCAACCTTTCCCATCTGTCTGCCTCCTCCTACAGCTGCCCCAGGAGGAGGTGCTGAAACTGTACAGGAGCATGACGCTGCTCAACACCATGGACCGCATCCTCTATGAGTCCCAGCGGCAGGTGGGTAGGGAGAGGCTGGGCAGCTGGGTGGGATCACCTCCGGTTTCCTATCTTGTTATGGTTGAAGGAGCACACCTGGGAGGAAGCCTGGTTTGTGGGTCTCCTGAGAGTTCTTGGGGTTCTCTCAAGGCTCTGGAAAAAACGTGGAAAGGCTTTCATTCAAGGACACTAAAAACCTGCCGTATGCACAGCTGAGAGAAGCAGCTCCCACGTGGGCTACATAAAACAGCGCTCTCCAGAGAATAGATGCCGCGTGAAAGGTTTTTCCCTCAGCTGCAAGCCCATGGGGTCCTATTTGCAGACAGAGATGAATCCAGGGTCTCAAAAAACCACCAGACTATTTCTCTCCATGTGTATTTTCTTTTCTTTTTTTTTTTTTTTTTTTTTTCTTTTCTCCCTTGCCTTGGGTTTTTTTTTTTTTTTTTTTTTTTTTCCTTTTAGAAACAGTGTCTCCCTATAACCCCAAATGGCCTGAAACTCAACTATGTAGACCAGCTGTGAGTTCAAGGCCAGCCTGGTCTACATAGCAAGCCTCCCGAGTGCTGGGATTAAATTTTTTTTTTTTCCTCGTTAAGACAGGTTCTAAACATGTAGCTTTAGCTGGCCTGGAGCTCACATATGTCCATCTATGTTTGCCTTTGCCTTCCAAGTGCTGGGAGTGCACCACCATGCCCAGTCTCTTTCATCTCTGAGTGATGGTGGTCCCTAACAGCTCTGGGCCTGTGGAGACAGTGGAGAGGAGGGGAATTGGGGTATGGGCCCAGAGCTACCTTGAAGATCTAAATTAGTCTTGGTGGCACGTACCTATAATCCTAGCACTGGGGAGATAGAGACAAGAGGATCAGGAGTTCAAGGCCAGTCTCAGTTACATAGCAAGTTCTAAGCCAGCCTGGGCTACATAAGATACTGTTTCAAACAAAAGATCCTTTCAAACAAAAGATCAAAGTCCTGGTTCTGCCCTAGCTCTGGCCCTGGGAAAACTGCTTAATTTTTCTGTTTCCTTCTTCTCTCTCTCTCTTTCTCTCTCTCTCTCTCTCTCTCTCTCTCTCTCTCCTTCTCTCTCTCTCTCTCCCTCTCTCTCTCTCTCTCTCTCTCTCTCTCCCCACCCCCTTTGGAGTACTGTGGATTGAACCTAGGGTCTTGTACATGCTATGCAAGTGTTACTGCTGAGCCATGTCCCCATCCCCTCATGGGTATATTCTAGGTAAGCACTCTATCACTGGCTATATCCTCAATCCTTTTTTTTTTTTTTTTTTTTTTTTTTTTTTTTTTGAGATAGAGTCTCCTGTGTTGCTTATGATAGCTTCGAACTCACTGTGTATGCACCCCACATTGAACTTGAACTTGAGCTTCTGCCTCAGCATCCTGAGATGCTGGAATTACAGGCCTGTGCCACCAGACCGGCTCCATGTTCCTTTCTTCCTTTGCAGTGTAGAGCCTCAGGCATGCTAGGCATGTTCTGTTACTAAGCCCATCCGCAGCTTGTTGTGTTTTCATTTTCTTGTCTGCATCTGCCTTGTGAGGCAGGAGGATGGATGGTGGGGTTTGTAATGGCCAGAGGAACAGTGAAATGGACATTGTTCCAGCACTCAGTAACTATTAGCTATTATGACTCTGTCAGCTTCCCATTTACTGTCCTTCCCACTTAGCAGTGGAGAAGGAACAACCCATCATGTTCAGGGGATGGCCCTGGAACAGTGCTGATAGGCTAAGCTTTGGTCCCAGTCACTTTCCTCAAACAGTCATTGGGAGCAACTGGCTAGGCTGAGCTGCATACCTATGGCAGGAATCAAGGAGTGGAGCCCATCCCTCCCTAGCTGCCCAGAGTAGGGCTGGGGTGTTACAAGGAAAGGCAGCAGGGTAGCAGGCAGGCTCTCATTCCACCATTCCTTCTGGGGCCTGACTTTGTGCCAGGTTCTGGGGGATCCTGCTATGACTAAGGAGGGAGGCCCACTGGGCCGGAGGAAAATACTAGGTAGATGCAGGCAGACAGCCTGCTCTCAGACATTTCTCTTCATGGGATCACTTGCCTGTGGCTTCCCCAAGGAAGGGCCGTGTCTTTACCTAGTCCCTGGGGTCCCACTGCCCATGGGATCACGCCAGCCCTCCCAACCACCCTGCCTCCTCATTTGGCTCTCTGCCCTGCACCACACAGCCTCAGTCCAGTCCTGGCTGCTCCTGCATGGTTTTCCTGTCCTCCCATGGACCTGGGTGCAGTCACAGCCATTGACGTTGTGCAGGATGTTTTTCATACTGTTGAAAATGGGACTGATAGCTGGGCTCAGTGGTGGAGGGCTTGCTTCACATGCTCAAGGCCTTGGGTTCAGTCCCTAGCTCTGAAAAAAATATTAGAAAGTTAAAAAGCCAGGCATGGTGACACATGTCGAATCCAAGTACTTGGAAGGTTGAGACAGTAGGATTGCTGTGAATTCAAGGCCAGCCTGAGCTATAAAGTGAGACCCTGTTTCAACCCCACCCACCCCCCAAATCAATAAATCAGTTAATGAGAGGTAGTGATATAACTCTCCTGTAGTGTTGGGATAGGAATTCCATGCTATCTGAAATGGAAGGGCCCTTCCTTCCCTGTGGGCTGGTACCAAGGAAATTATTTAACCTATTGCAATGAACCTGTGTGCTAGGATTAGTTTAGGTATGAATGACAGACCTCCCAAGACCAAAGGAAAACTTTTAAGAAACAAGATCAGGCTGGGCATGGTGGTGCACACCTTTGATCCCAGTACTCGGGCGGCAGAGGCAGTGAGTGGATCTCTGTGAGTTCAAGGCCAGCCTGGTCTACATAGTTCCAGGGCAGGTCGGGCTGCAGGGAGACCTGTCTCAAAAAAGACCCCCCCCCAAAAAAAAACCAAACAAGATTGGGGGCTGGAGAGATGGCTCAGCCATTGGGAGCACTGGCTATTCTTGCAGAGAACCTGGGTTTGATTCTCAGCACCCACGTAGCGGCTAACAACCACCCATAACTGCAGTTTCAGGAGAAACCTGCCACCTTCTGACCTTGGGCATTGCACTGCACTAACATACATGCAGGCAAAACACTCATACACATGAAAAAAAAAAAAAAAGAAAGAAACAAGATGGGTGTAGTGGCACACGCCTTTAGTCCCAGCACTTGGGAGACAGAGGCAGGCAGATCTCTGTGAGTTCAAGGCCAGCCTGGTCTACATAGCAAGTTCCAGGACAGCTGGGACTACAGGGAGACCCTGTCTCAAAAAGACAAAAAAGTAAAATAAAATTTTAAAAGAAAGAAAAGAAACGAGGTTGAAGCAGTGGCTTGACAGATGAATAGTTTGTCCTCCTAGACAAAAGAAACCAGAGGCAGGTGGCCTGGGGCTCATCTAGTGACAGAACAGTGTCAGTGGATGCTCAGTTTCCTGCATCCTTTGATTGCTCTGATTTGCTATGCAGAGTTTGGCTTCTTCCTTCAGAATCGCCTAATCCAGATGGCTGCTGGAGCTCCCTCCATCTTGTCTCCAGGAGCAAGCAGAAGGAACGTGGGAGGTCAGACAGCACCTCCAAGCTGTTTCCTCACTCATACCTTCATAGAACTTTCTAGGGAGTTCCCCTTCATAACATCTACTTACAATTCATCAGCCCTAGCTGCCAGGGAGACTGGGAAATGTAGTCTTTTAATCTGGGCAGTCCCTGCCCATAGGTGGAATGGGAGCTCAGCTAACAGAGAGGAGGGGGTGTTAAGTCTATTAACAGGACACTGGGTGGGCGAGCTGTGCCACTAGCTCAAGTTGTTTTCCCAGGGGGCATCTTGGGCTCCTCCCTGCACTGACTGACCTGGGCAGCCCTACAGGCCTTACGTACCCGGCACCCGCCTACCCACTTGGCACCAAAAAGTCAGTTAACTTTTAATTGGCTCCCCACTTAGAGAAAAGCACTTCTTTATCACCTTCCTCAGCAGCTAGAAAGCCAGGTTCTAGGAGCATTGCTGAGCCCAGGGGTGCCGACCTAGGGGTGTCCTGGGGTGGTGCGTGCTAGAAGAGCTCTTCCACACCATGGGTGATCTCATTTTCATCATACACCAGGGCTTTCCCAGTTCTCCAGCAAGACTTGGTCTTGGCACCATAGACCTACTTGGCGTCTCTGCTCGTATTAAAAACAGCCTGTGCAGACTTGACCTGTGCCTCTTCCTCCTCTAATCCATGTCTCAGTGATTAGCACCACCAGCCACCCTCCTCACCCACCCAGGCACCTCTCATCTTCCCTCTGTTATCTCCCTGCCTCCCTGTATCCTTAGTCCTTGTTTCTAGATGTTTCCTTAGGAATCTGTCAGCAGCTCAGCAGTACTGTCGGGTACCTACCTATACCCTGCCTTTTTTTGCTTCATGTTTCTTGGCAAACTGGCTTTTGTCTGTGCTTGTTGCCTCATGCTGAAAGGATGGCTGCCACAGCTCCAGGCGTCATGGCTCTGAGCAAGGCAGGAAGTAGGTGGGGGGCACAGGTGGTGTCAGTAGTACCCCGTCCCCCACCCATCTAGAAAACAAAAGCAGATTTCCATTGAAGCCTCAGGTTAAAACTTCCTAAAATTTACAGCCACTTTTGAAAGACCACCTTTGCTCTGGAAATTGCTATTGAATATGTTAAAGCTGTAATGAAATGCTTCTTCTAATCATGGGGTTATTAAATAAATTAATTTAAAAAAAATGTGTTCCTGGCCACTTTGGCCTGGAGAAAGGCTGTGAACTTGGTCTTTTCTGGACCCTAGGGCTAGAGAGGCTAAGGGAGCTGTCCTGGATGGCCACTCCCAGCACCACTAACTCAATTTTAGAGTACTCATTCATTTGCCCAAGATTTCTAAAACCCGAGTGTAATTCCGATGTTCCTTTGAAAAGTATCAGTTGGGGTACCCCTGTTCTAGAGGGTAGTCTAGGTGATTGTTCCCTGCATCATCTTTGTGCTGCCTCCTCATGCCTCATCTGCCTCGCACACCTCACTTTATGTCACAGCCCTCTGGTCTCATGTCCTTTATTGTCCCTCTGCCTAGAACCTTCCACCCATTTTGACTTTGCTCGATTTAGTTTCCCCCACGCCCTGCCATGCCCATGCCCTCCACATGTCCCTCGGCTCTCACTGCTCCACCAGCTCCTTCTGGAGGGAGGAGCCCTTGTGACCTGGCCCAGAGTCCCTCTATAGTGATGGCTAATCATCAGAGTTGAGTAGGGTTCTCTGTCTCTGACTAGCTTAACCAAGATGGCCTCTGGACCTCCTTCACCCCCAGGGCCGGATCTCCTTCTACATGACCAACTATGGTGAGGAGGGGACGCATGTGGGGAGTGCTGCCGCCCTGGACCACACGGACCTGGTGTTTGGTCAGTACCGGGAGGCAGGTATGTCTGCTGATGGTTTGGCCCTGGGGTCTCTGTTGAGGTCCCCGTTCTGTTTACCCAGCCAGCTCTTCCATGAACAGCATGGTTCTGTGGGGGCCTTGGAACCCAAAAGCAGCTTTCCAAGCAAGGCAGGTTAGGACATGACTAGAGAGGTGACTAGACTTCCCGGAGGCCAGGAAGTGCAGGGGTTGCAGCTCTTCCAGAAAACTGCCATAGGTACCTTGCCCCTCTCATCTCCAAGGTGGCAATGAGGAAGGTACCTGCATTGATTGGTTGCTAGAAGGATGCTGGGGATCAGACCTGGCTGAGGACATGGTACATGCCATGACCCCTGTTGACCTAAGGCTCTCCTGACCTTTCCCAGCCGCTGTGTACCCTAGCAAGTAGGAAGCAGGCACTATGGGAGGGTCCTGAATGCAGTAGAGACCTGACTCTTGGCAGATGCCAGCAAGGAAACCGGATGCAGAGTGAAAGAAAGGAGCAGGGAACAAGACAGATTCTTTGAGGGCCAGGGGTGTGGCTTAGCCTTATAGCACTTTCTAGAATCCACCTGTGAAGGGCTGGAGACGAGGCTTGCTAAACTGGGGATCAGTGACGGGGGTGCTTCAGGTAAGTTGCTCATACGGGAACTCTGCAAGGAAGCTGCCCCCGATGGTGTGAGCAAAACAAATCTTGAGCCTTCCCCTTGGGTGCGGTCCCATCCTAGGCAAGTTGCTTGACTATGCCATGCCTGTTTCCTTGTTTATAAGGAGATGGTAGCTGCAGCCAGCTACAGAGAGGAGTCATGGGCACTTGGCACAAAGCTATTAGCACAGGGTGAGAACTTGGAGACTGTTGTTATTGGAACCAAAGACAGCTTTCCAGAAAGGGGATGGGCAGGCCAGGGTGACTGTGCAGAGGCCCCCTTGGGTGAGCTGGGCATCCAGTCTGCAGGTAGACTAGCTCTTTCCTTGGCATGCACTGGGTTGGGACACACTACCTGTTGATGGTTGAGGTTTGGCATCATCTGCAAGGAAAGCCAGGTTCCCCAACACGGCGTCTGCGGGCTCTTGTGTGTGGAGGCAACAGTGCGGGGAGGAGTGAGGCCACCTCACTCAAGCTTTGCTTCACAGCCACTCACTGTGCTGTGAAGGTGCTTCCCAGCTGGGAGGTAGAGAAGTCTGTCATGGTAGCACATGCCTGTTATCCTAGTCCTCGGAAAGCTGAAGCAGGAGGATTACAAGTTTGAATCTAGCCTGGGCTACATAGTGAGAACCTGTCTCAAAAAAAGCAAAACCCCCAAAACAACCATGACATGGGGAGACACAAGGTCTTCATAGCAACAGGTGGCCCTTACTGACTTCTAGGAGACCAAGTTCCCTACTACCTTGTCTTGTTCCCTTGCTGCAGAGTGTGGGCACAGTGGAGCCAGTGGAGCCAGTACGGCCTGGGTTGTGGGGCTTATAGAGCTCCCTCTGCAAGCCATATAGGAGGCATCTGTTATCTGTGAAACAGAGGTCCAAGGGGTGAGACCTGGTGAGCCCTCGCTGCTGTCTGACCCAGCGGCCACCCTTGCTGGTTGCCACCCTGGCTGCCCTCCCCCCTCTATGACATTCCCAGCTAGGGTGGTGGCAGGGAGTGGTGCTTGGTCGGGACTAAAGCAGCAGGTGCTAAGGCAAAGCAGAAGTTCCCAGGAGACCTGTGCAAGGCAGATCCACCTGGCTGCTGTGCCTATCCGTGACAACACTTTTTGTGTATTTTTGGTGTACTGGGATGGAACCCCAGGCCTCACACATACCAGCCAGTGGAACCCCGGGCCTCACACATACCAGGCAGGCACTTTACTACCGAGCTCCACTCCAGCCTTGTGACTCCGTATTTTTAACTCCTCCTTCCTACCCTGCACAGTGATTCTCATGTGCCAGTGTCATGTGGCTGTGCTTGGACCACCTCCAGCCATTTACAACACACTTTCCTCCTTCAGCCAAAGCACCTCCTCCATTGTTTATGCAGTATAGCCAGGCATCTGCAAATTTGTATTATACCAATTCAAAGATGCATGAAAGGGGCTGGAGAGATGGCTTAGTGTTTAAGAGCACTGATTGCTCTTGCAGAGGACCGGGGTTCGAGTCCCAGCACCTACATGGCAGCTACGAACCATCCCTGGTTCCAGTTCCAGGGGAATCTGAAGCCCTCTTCTGAACTCTGAGGCATTACACGACACGGGTGCACTCACTCACACATATGCAGGCAATGCACTCATACACATAAAATAATAAATAAAATATTTTTTTCAAAAAAGATGCATGACAGAAGCTAATGATGATGGCCAGGCATGCCCATTATGTCAACATTTAGGAAGCTGAGGCAGGAGGATTTCCAAGTCAAGGCCAGCCAGGGCTACATAGCCAGACTGTCTCAAAAAAGCCAGACATAGTGCATGCTTGGAATTGTAGCAGAAGGAAGCAGAGGCAGGAGGATTGCCACAAATTCAAGGATTGCCTGGTCAAGTTCCAGGCCAGCCAGAGCTACAGAGCAAGACTCTCCTCCCCACCCCCTATGATGCTAATGAACTTATACTGAAATTTCAAGAAGGGCAAAACAATAGTTTTTTTTGACAGGGTCTCCCTGTAGCCCCAGCTGGCCTGGAACTCACTATGTAGACCAGGCTGGCCTTGAACTCACAGAGATCGCCTGCCTCTGCCTCCTGAGTGCTGGGACTAAAGGCGTGTGCCACCACACCTGGCTATGAAGGGTATAATTTGAAAGCCAGGTGTTTACGCAATACAGAGCTGTGCTGGTGCCCCTGGCTCAGGGCCCTTTAGTGATAAACACAGTCCCTATCCCTTTCCCAGACTCCATCTTGAATGGTGTGCATTAGGTCAGGTCCTTCTCTGCATCTTAGTGGTTGTGTGATGTAGAGCTAGTCATGGGAGCTGGTGGGGCATTCTCAACCTTAGTCTCCTCATCTGTCAGTGGGAGGAAGATGCTGCCTTCAGTGGGATTCTACTGTGTCACTGTCTGAAGAGTGCTGACAGCAGCACTCCATTCACCCCTTGCATCCAGCATGACTGCCTGTCATGTGACCCCATTAACTTCATCTGAATACCTGCAGTAAAGGTAGGGAAAGCTCAGTGCCAGATGGCTGCTCCCAGGCGAACTCGGGCTCCCGGGCAGCTATTGGACATTGTGACCCAAGGTGTGGGTATGAAGTGTACCCCTTTTTTGGTGTTTCTGAGAGTGTCCCAGCTGGACCTATAACAGTCATGGACCCCTCTAATCCTCCAACTTGGCAAACAGGGCCCCCTTTGATGGTGAGCTGGGGTCCATGGGGGCTTTTATGTGAAGAAAAGGTTTTACTACTGTGAGTAGGAAGCATCTTCTCTCTGGGGCAGCTGTGACTTAGTGGTCGGTACTTAAAGGAGCTGAATTAGTTGAAAACACACATCTCACAGTCTTTCACTGTAAAAGAGAAAGAAGTCTTGGGCTAGAGGTGGACATCACTGGTAGACAGTTGCCAGCTTGGTTCCATCTCTAGCACTGCAAAAAAGAAAAGAGAAAGAAAGAGGAAGGCTCGTCTCTAGCACTTCCGAGGCCCCACACTTAACTGAGGAGCTATTGGAGTTCATGGCCACCAGGGAAGGAGAGTGGGTTTTCTTCAGCTGTGTGGCCCATGGCAAACTGTCCGTGTTCTAGTGGATGGAGCCCCACACCCATGCGAATCGGGGCAGCACTAATTGGACGTAGTGGGTTATTAAAAAAGACAAACCATGCCAGGCATGGTGGCGCACGTCTTTAATCCCAGCAGTCTGGAGGCAGAGGCAGGTGGATCTCTGTGAGTTCAAGGCCAGCCTGGTCTACATAGTTCCAGGACAGCTGGGGCTACAGGGAGACCTGACTCAAAAAGACTAAATAAATAAATAAAATAAATAAAAAAGACAAAGCTGGGAGGGGGGATGGGGCGTTTTCAGGGAGAAAGGGGGGAGAATCTGATCTAAATACATTTTATTCATGTATGACATTACCAAAGAATTTTTAAAAGGCACCAGTAGAATGATGGAGCAGTTCTCCGGTAGATCTGACTAGCCTGGAACATAGACCAGGCTGGCCTGGAACTCTCAGAGGTCTACCTGCCTTGCCTCCTGAGTGTTGGGAAAAGAAAGAAGGGCTAGGTTTCTCTCATTTTCTGTGCAGTGTAGCCGTGTCATATGCAAAGCTGAATTATGCCTATTCAAAGACAAGTAACAGAAGATCAAATGGATTTGCACCATTCACCCTCTATTGAGAATTATCGAGAGGGATTATCTGGGCCAAACATCAGCTTCTCTCCTGAGACAGTCCTGCCAGTCACTCTGCCCAGTTGCTTTTATCTATGGCACCTGTCTGGCCTCCCGAGCTCCTGTGTTTGCCTACCTGCTACAGTCTGGGTCTTACATTTTTGCTGTTTGAGTAAAGAGAGTATCTTGCTATGTGGCCCAGGCCAGCCTCCAACTTGCACTCTTCCTGCCTCAGCCCATGCCAAGTACACTGATCTGGCTCCTTTGGTACAGCCGTGGTAGAAGCTCCCAGCTGGAAGGGGCAGGTCCCAGGTCATCCACAGGGTTGGTCTGCTGCTCCCTCCCCGCTGCACTGCTTACCAGGCTTATAGCTGCCTCCTCCTGCCAGGGGTGCTGATGTACCGGGACTACCCTCTGGAACTGTTCATGGCCCAGTGCTACGGCAACGTGAGTGACCCAGGCAAGGGACGCCAGATGCCCGTGCACTACGGCTGCAAGGAGCGCCACTTTGTCACCATCTCCTCTCCACTGGCCACACAGATCCCTCAGGGTAAGGACACATGCTCTGAGCCTCCTGCATGCCCTCTGTGTGACACCCCTGTGTGGGCCCAGGCCTTCTCCAGCCTTCTGAGATGGGTGCCATCAGAACCTGGCCTGTAAACAGGACTTTCAAGGGACCCTTTGGAGGAAGGTGCCATTGTGCCACCCCAACCAGCAACCTTAAGCCAGGAATGACCACCCAACTTCCTAGACTTCTGGCATCCCCCTGCCCCGCACACCAGCAGGGACCAAGCACAGTCTCACTGCCACACTTTTATTGTCTAATGACACTATCAGTGGCTGTGGGGGTAAATGCTAGCATGTATTGTTATCCCTATTGGAAAGAACAGGAAATGGAAGTCAGAGAGGGACATGACTTACTAAAAGGTCACATGGTAGGGAGGAGGGCAGGAGCTCACTCATGGACTCGTGTAACCAGAGTCCAAGTTTTTACCCTGTCCCTTGCTGTCCTTGGTTCTCAGAGTCAGATAGACTCTGCTGTAGGTGTTCTGACACTCCTTCCACACTGCAGGAACTGCCAGGCCGATGGACCTGTGCTCACACTGTACACAGACCAAGGATTGGCTCCCTTGTAGTCCCCTGGGCCTGTAGTCTGATGGAGGGTCACAGTTCAAGGGTCCCTTGTGCTGAAGGTGCATGGCTTGTGAGTCTGCAGCCTCCTGAGAGGTGGACAGCAGAGCTCTCTCCGAGCTGGACATGGTCTAATCTTTCATTCCGGTATACTCTTGGGTCCCTCATTTGACAAATGTGTGGAATATCTACCATGTTTCAGAGGCCACCCTAGGCTTATTGAACAAAGATAAGCCTCAGCCCTGTTGGTCATGATGGTGGGCTGGGGGGAGACAGGCAGGAAACAGTGAAGAGGCAGCACCTAGATTGTTTAGTGTGAGTAAGAACACTGGGACAGAGCAGTGTTGGGAGCAGTGCCGGAGAGATCTCAAATGATGTTAAGTACAGACCAGATGCAGTGTGAGTAGGGGCTGAGGGCACTTGTGCTGTTGTATACTCAGTTGAGACTAGACCAGGGGACTAGGGGTTTGGAAGGGGGAGGGTGCCGACCTGCAGAGTAGGTGGGGCCTACTGGCCTTTGCCTTTTTCAGAGACTTTAGCCCACAGTGGCCTGGGAGCCCAAGGATGTGGAGGAGTCTTCCAGACTTATAAGACTCACTTGGCTGTTCCTTAGATGACGGATTAGGGGGCAGTGGCAGGGGCAACGGGCTACTCAGTAACTTGAGCATGAGGTGACGGTGGCTTGTCCTTGTGTGGTGGAGGTGGTGGGGAAGGTCCAGATTCTGGCTGTATTTGAAGGTGGAGATGGAAGAATGAGAGTCTGGAGTCAGGGATGATGCTGAAGTCTGTGCCCTGTGCAGGTGAAAGGATGGCACTGCAGTCAGCTGAGGAGGGCAGGCTTGGGGGTTCCTGTGGGTCCCTGGTGACAGCTGGCCTGAGCCTGAGGCCTTGGGGTATGGAGACTCTGTTCCTCCTCACCGGCTTCTCATCTGTATCCCCATGCAGCGGTGGGGGCAGCCTACGCAGCCAAGCGGGCCAACGCCAACCGGATTGTCATCTGTTACTTTGGTGAGGGGGCAGCCAGTGAGGGTGATGCCCATGCTGGCTTCAATTTCGCTGCCACCCTTGAGTGCCCCATTATCTTCTTCTGCCGGAACAACGGCTATGCCATCTCCACACCAACCTCCGAGCAGTACCGTGGAGATGGCATTGGTAAGGGCCCTGTTGTGCAACCTTGTCCTCCTCCCTATTCACTTCCTCTGGTGTCTGTCACTGTCACGGGTACAGAGGCAGCGAATGGAGCATGCCTTGCTGTCCTCCTTCCCTCTCCGTGTCTTCCCGTCCTTCTCCCTGCTTATCCTGAAGTCTGACCAGCATCCTCTCTGTCCCTGCAGCGGCACGGGGCCCTGGATACGGCATCATGTCGATCCGTGTAGATGGCAATGATGTGTTTGCTGTATACAATGCCACCAAGGAGGCCCGGCGACGGGCTGTAGCCGAGAATCAACCCTTCCTCATAGAGGCCATGACCTACAGGTGCCTGTCTCACCTCTGCCACTGCCATCCAGAGCTCTGACTGGCTCCCCGTCACTGTTCCAAAGCATGGCTGTGTCCCCCCATACTGAATCCCTTCCTTGTTCTACTTCCCTACTTCATACCTTCCTGGTCCCTGTTCCCAGTGCTCCAGCTGACCCAGGTCTCCCTTGAGTAGGATTGGGCACCACAGCACCAGTGATGACAGCTCGGCATACCGTTCAGTGGACGAGGTCAACTACTGGGACAAGCAGGACCACCCGATCTCAAGGCTGAGGCACTACCTCCTGAACCGAGGCTGGTGGGATGAGGAGCAGGAGAAGGCCTGGCGGAAGCAGTCCCGAAAGAGGGTGAGGGCCACTTGGAGTCCCAGGGTGTGTGCTCAAGGGCCTTCTCACAGGGAGAGACCTGGGAGGATGGGAGTGTGGGCCCTGGGGTCATCAAACTGGGACACCAGGGTAACCTAGCACCACCATCTCCATGTGTGCCCCCTGGAGCCAGACTGCCTGGCTCACACAACCTTAACTGGGTCTTCACTGTGGAGCCCAGAGCACCTCATCTGCCAGTTTCTTCATCTCCAAATAAAGGAGTTTGAGGATGAGGCCCCTTCATCTGTGTGTGGTGGGAGTGCCCACTTGGGCCATGATTGGAGCCAGGGAGCTAGTGGAAGGAGAGGTCTGGCCTCAGGCAGAACTGTGCACAGTGGCTCTGCCCTGACCGCATCATCCTGGGAAGTGAGTCCCTTTCCTTCCCTGTACTGTGCCTCTTCGCTCTGGGTTGTCTCCATCTTAGGGCTGCTCAGTGCAGCACCTAGCCCCTCCAGGGTTGGAGCTGCTGGGATTTGGAGTGTTGGGTGACCCCTAGCCTAGACCCTACAAGGGAAGAGCTGGACCATGGGCGTGACCAGCTGCTTCATACCCTCCTGTGTCCCCCAGGTGATGGAGGCCTTTGAGCAGGCTGAACGGAAGCCAAAGCCCAACCCAAACCTGCTCTTCTCAGATGTGTACCAGGAGATGCCCGCTCAGCTCCGCAAGCAGCAGGAGTCACTGGCCCGGCATCTGCAGACCTATGGGGAGCACTACCCCTTGGACCACTTCGACAAGTGAGGCCCCAGTTACGGGAGGTAGTCCAGCTCTGAACAGAGCAGGGAGGACTGGCAAGAGGCTGCCTCTTCCCTAGCTAGTTCCCCTAAAATGCCCAGCTGCCAGCTGCCAGTGTGGCACCCCAGACTGTCATGGGGTAGCTCCCACTCCCCATTCTGGCTCCTCCAGGCTGCTTCACTGGAGGAACAATGTTTGCAGCAATTGTTGAGGCACTCCTCCCTCTTCATCTGTTACAGTGCCTTCTAGGGGTTGGGCCAGGGACCAGGGTAAACCCTCTGGTGAGGAGTGGGCCAGGCAGGGTGGCCCTAGAACTTGCCCAGAGAGAGTGCTAGCAGAGTGAATAAACTGGCTCTGCGTTTGGCTCTCTGCTGTCTCTGTCTCTATCTCTTGGAGTTGGGGGCAAATCCAGGCCAGTATGGCTGATCTGGTTTTGGAGGTTTTTGTTTGAGACAGGGTCTTGCCACATAGCCCAGGCTGGCCTGGAATTTGTGATCCTCCTGCCTCAGCCTCTGGAGTTCTGGCATTGCAGGAGTCTGCCACCATGCCCAGCTTTTGGGGATACCTTAGGTTTCTCTAGCTTAGGTAGAGAAGATGAACGCTTTGAGGTATCTTATTTCTGTAAACTTCCGAAGCTGTATGCCAACTTTTACACGTGAGCAGGGATGAGAGGCCCTCCAGAGCTCTCCCTGGGTGATCACAAGCCTGCTGTCCAGCAGAGTAGGGTGTCCAATGGAGCCTGCCAGGCCAGGATGAAGCATATCCAGTCAGGGTACTGTGGACATCTGGTGTGTAGACCCTGCACAGGGTTCCCCCCCATAAACCAAAAGAACTCTAGGCTTCAGAGTAAGGAGGATATTTTTCAAAATTAGAAAGTAGATGAAAACAGTCTGCCAACGTGTCCAGCCTGCCCAGGCCCTTGCTAAGGAGGACCCAAGAGGGAGGGGCTCAAGTCAGGTCAGCAACCTACCCCACCCCAGCTCCCCACTGAGGCTCAGCACTGTGGGCCCTGTAGATGTCTCCAGAGCCAAATGGTGTCCTGGGGGCTGAGGGGACGTACTAATAACAGGTCTCGCACAGCGCAAGGATCCCTGGCACGGTCTGCTGGCCAGGCTGTGAGGAAGCCTGGGTGGGCCCGGGGCACTAAGCCCAGGGCACGGAAGCAGAGACCAGTGTAGATGTCATCAAAAGGGAAAGGTGCCACACGAGCTGCTGCCTGCAGTAGCCAGGGGGCCAGGCGTCCCGCAATGACATACCCACCTCCACTTGCGTAGGCTGGATAGCCACCTTCGAAAAAAGACCCTGGCACATAGAAGAGTCCTCCAGGCTTCCGGATAGGCTTGGCCTGGGTGAAGACCTCACCCAGGTAGAGGCTGCGGGCCCAGGTGGGTGGCAGGGTCCGCAGGTGCTCTAGCAGGGCAGGGGTATGCACAAAGGCATCGTCCTGAACCTGCAGGATAAACTTCACATCGGGGCAGTGGTGGCCCAGCCAGGCCAGCAGCAGCAGGTCTTTGAGTGTCCGGTTGTAGGGAACATCCAGGAAGTCCCAGAGCAGCAGGTCATGGTATCGCAGGCTCTCCCATGTCACCAGTGATCGGAGGTCAGGCCCCCCTTCTCCCAGTGGGGATCCCAGCAGGAAGAGCAGCCGGGTCCCAGGAACTGCGCTGCCCCACGTCTCCCGCACGGCCTGTCGTTCTGCAAAGCGTCCTGGTTCCGATTTGACAGCCAGCAGCAGGTAAGGGACATCCTTATCTGAGCAGCTGGCCACGTGGCTGCCTTCCCCTGCAGGCAGCCATTGCGGGAAGCTCCTACAGGCTGCTGACAGCAAGAAGCGTCGGAGGTCCTGGGGGTAGGAGGTGAAGTCGGGGATCTCTGCAGCAGCAGCAGCCCCCCAAGCTTGACAGTCCACACTGGGCAGGGCCCCCAGTCGCCACTGCTGCTGGTTCCAGTAAGCTGAGGGCAGCTGGCCAGTCTGGCCTAGGCGGGCAGAAAGGTTGGTGGGCAGGGTGGGCTCAGCGCTGGATGGTGTGGGACCAGGCAGGGTACCCCGGGGGCCTGGGTAAGCCTTGTTGAGCCGGGACTCGGATGTCCACTCGATGTACACTTTGAGGCCCAAGAGTGTGAGCAGCGCTGACAGGCAGAGCAGGCACTTGGGGCAGCGCATGACCCGGCCCAAGGAAGGGGCCACCAAGGGAGCTGTAAGGGTCACACAGAGCTACAGAGGCCCTTTAGGGTACAGGGTGGGCCTCCCGGGATGGTCAGCTAGGCTTGGGTAAGCAACCTAGGTCTCCCACAGCTGTGGGTGGCTTCTTTTCAGGTTCTGACCCTAGGCGGCCTTCCCCTCAAGGACCCAACTGTCACCTCTTCCTCGACCTAGAGCCCACCCACCTCCTCCAATCCCACTCCTTTCCCTTCTTCCTAGAGTCCCGGGAGGTCTTCCCCCAGCGCCATTCCCTCCTCCACCCTTTCCCCATTCATCTTGCTCCACGGGAGTCTGGATCCAGCTCCCAGGATGAGCGCCTTCCACCTTCTTGGAAACCCTGCCTACCTCCCCTAGCAGCCCCACCCCAGGGTCGGGATCTCCCTCTTCTGTACCTCTGGGTCCGGTTCCTGCCAATTCCGGGGACCTGGGGTCAGGCCCTGCCCGGGCTCTCGGCTCTGCCCCAGCCGGTGCGTCCTCAGCCTGCGGCTCAGCCGGTGCAGCCAGTCCGGAGGGGCGGCGGGCAGGCGGGGAGGAGGCTAGAGGGCCCCAGGGGCCGGGAGGAGCCGGGGCGGGGCCGGGGGAGGGGGGAGGGGGACTGAAGTCAGAAACAAGTAGAGACAGCAAGAAATTCTAAACATCAAGGGAACACTGCCCAGCCCTGCCTCACCCAGGGCATCTTCCCTCCTCAGAAGAAGCTGGCCTGAAGCAGACCCAGAGGAATAAAGGGGGGGGGGGGGGGGGGGGGGGGGGGCGGGGGGGAGGGGGGAGGAGGAGGCTGCCCAGGGAGACGCGCCCTGGCGAGTTAGGACTGGTTTTCTGGTGAGACAACAGGGAAAGGTGCAGGAGTGGCCAGAGCCAGAGACCCGGACCCTGCGAGGACCAAGGGGAGACTTCCAGGAGGGCGATCCTAGGGCCGGCCGAAATGAGCTGGGTAACGTCAGTGACCTAGAGGCAGGCTGAGTCCCAAAGAGGAAAGCGGAGGGAGGCCAAGGGGCTGGCTCCGGGCCATAGCTAGAGGCTGCGTAAATGTGCTGAGTGGATCTGGATCAGCGATAGGGATGTTCGCTGGGGCCGCGAGGGGGTGGCGGGACATGAAGGAGAGAGCCTGGGAGGCCTTGGCAGGCAACGAAGAAGGGGTGAAACGGAGGCGGGATGGAGGAGGTCAGAACAGAGCCTGACTGACCAGGGGACAGTCGAGGGAACCCGGCAGGACCCAAGAGGAAAGGAGCGACCAGGGAGGAGTGAGTCAAGGGGAGCCACAGGAGAGCAGTAGAGCGTGATTGGGTGGGGTGCATTGGGAGCCCCAACAGCCCCGAGCTAGGCAGTTGCCTTGTGCCTCCTACAACCCCTGTGCCTGAGCCACCAGCCCTTCCTACTAGCTCCATCCAGCAGCCTGAGGCAACCCCGCCCTTAGGATGCTCTGGGACCTATGTCCCTCCCCTGGGTGGGGCCTCCTCCCAGTCTCCAAACCCAGGCTGACTGCCTTTAGCCTACCTGGTTTGGAGGGCTGATATCACGGGAACCCAGTGTGCCAGCAGAAGTTTGTTATCTGTGCAGTCCTGATTTCCTCCCTCCAAGTTTGAATAGTGGAGCCCGTGGGAACAGTTGGAGGAAGAGAGTGAGGAGGAAATGGTGACCGCTAATGGAGTAAGAGCTGGGGTGGGGAAGACAGCCAAGGCCAGGCAGGGCCAAGCTCATCCCTGCCCGGGGCTGTGGGAGAGGCAAGTCAAGGCCTCTGAGCTCCTGTGGCTCATCTCCCTCCTGGGTGCTGAGGCTCTGGGCCGTGGTGACAATGGCAGGCCCCTCCTGGGAACTTGCACAATCTCTAAGGGAGCAGAGCTGGTTGCTGAAAGCAATCTGGGTCCAAGCCGGAGAAACCACACAGCTGTGGAAACGGAGGGTTCAATAGAAAGCATAATGATTAACTAGAAGGCAGGACTGAGTTATCATTGAGGGATGGGGTGTGAGATCGCATTGTTTCCGCCTCAGGCCAGGGCATTTCTAGTCTCTCATGTTAACTGCAGGGTACTGTTTGGGTCCTAGTTCCAGCCAACCAACCAAGTAGTTAGACACCTCTGCTGCACAAAATAACTCATTAAATCTGAAAGGCACCCTGGTCCAGCAAATTTGCCCCAAATACCCTTACAATCCAGTCTACACATTTCCTAGGTTTCAAGCTACATAATCTGCAAATTGCATTTTTCTATTTTTTTTTTTTTGTAGCCCAGTTGGCCTCCAATCTGTGGTCCTCCTGCTTCAGCCTTCTTTGTAAAGGGATGTCTTTTGGGAGAAGTACTGGCTATTGAACCCAGGGCTTTGTGCTTGCTATCACTGGGTTGTATCTGTTAGTGTCCTATTCTCAGCAGCTGGGTCCCAGCAGGCACCTGTGGAGCTAGTGGACTGGATCCCAGAGATTTGTGGATTTGTTGGCAGCAGAGGGCACTCTTGAGTCTTAAAAATAATGGACACCCCTTTTAAAGCAGGGTCCCGGGTGCCCTCATAACAAGGATTTGGGACACTGGAGGTTCTGGTGGCTCCCTGGTATTAGCAAAGGAGGCTTGGGGGAATGGGGAAGGGGTTTGAGGACTATTTTATCCAAGAACACACTTTTGGGGCTGTTGTGGAAACTTTGTAGTTCTTAGACTGACTTAACAGTTGCTCCCAGCTGGTTTCTGTCCGTAAGCACTCAAGGACACCCCCAAGAATCCCAGCACCTGTTCTTTAGAACCTTCTCTGCTGCCACAGCTGTTGAGCACAGCAGCCAGCAGACACATACTGCAGTTGGCACCTGGTTGCCCTTCACCACAGGTGGCCTGGGTGCCCCTGCATGCCAGGATTTCTGGCATCCATTTCCCTTCAGCAAGGAGCTCAGGTCTGCTGGGTCAGTTCACTACCCAGATCCCAGCCCTTCCCAGTCCAGCTTGAGCCTTTATTCGCTGCAGATTCTGTGCCACCTGAATCCAATTGTGAGAAAAACCACACAGTAATTTAAACAGGAAAGTTTAATATAAAGAATTACTGACTTCAACAGTGAATTGGAATCATGGATTCACTGGTAACATGGGATGAGGGAGTGACAGAGGCCTCCACGGAGACACTATTCATGAACAGCAGACAGGGGTGCCAGTGTATGCTGCTGACCACCTAGGAGCCCTGCAGCACCCAGACACCCAGCTAAGCTGTATTCCTTAAGCTTCAAGCACTTGGAGCCAGAACCTTTCCATTGGATCATCTATCTCTTCAGCACCCTCTACTGATGAAGTTGGAAAGAAAAAATTCCCAAAGGCTCAGCTGTTTCCACAGAACAGAAAAAAACTGTGAAGCTGAAAGTCAATAAATTAATGGTCAGTGCTGACCAGTCTCATACAGGGAAGAGACGTCGATGCCCCATGTCAGCCATGGTACCCCATGTCAGCCATAGTACCACATGTCAGCCACAGTCGCTGTAGATGGTAGCACATTCAATGTAGACAGTTTAGGGGGTTCCTTTTGACAAAGGGTGCGTATGTGAGGAACCACAGAGCTGCCTGCAGTTGTGCGTGGAGAGGGGCAGCTGCCAGGATGACAGGAGCCGACTATCAGCCACAGCAGCCAGGAGTCAATACTCCAGCTCTTGTCTCCTTCCCTTTGATCTGCCAGTGCTCCCCCATGATGAATGAATGAACACTAGAAGCCAGAGTTGGAGAGACAAAACACTCACAACAGAATGGGGCTGCAGGCTACGCAGAGACAGGGCTGGATGTGTCTTGAGGCTGCTGCTCCGGCCCCAGCTTCAGGCCCTGGGCCCAGTCAGCTCCCAGGACCTCACAGTGGGGCAGCATCTCTTCCACCAGGATGTGAGTGAGGCCTGGGTGGGACACGGCAGGGAGGTCTGAGATGTCCAGCCTTCGGAGGTTCCTTAAGGGGTGAGAAGAGCAGGATGAGAGTGGCATGTATGTGTATGTGTGTACGTGCACATGCATAGGGGGTAGGTTCTGGCCTTAATTTCAACCCCTAGCTTTTCCCTTTTTCCTATGCACTAGGGTTGCAACCCAGGGCTTCAAGGATATGAGGCAAGAATTCTGCTGAACCACATCCCCAGCCCCTCACTGGGGCATTCTAGGCAGGTGCTCTACCACTGAGCCACACCCCAGCCCCTCACTGGGGAATTCTAGGCAGGTGCTCTACCACTGAGCCACACCCCAGCCCCTCACTGGGGGATTCTAGGCAGGTGTTCTACCACTGATCCACCCCAACCCCTCACTGGGGGATACTAGGAGGGTGCTCTAACACTGAGCCACACCTCAGCCCCTCACTGGGGGATTCTAGGCAGGTGCTCTACCACTGAGTCACACCCCAGCCCCTCACCAGAAGAGTCTAGGCAAGTGCTTTACCACTGTGCCACACCCCCAGCCCTCAACCACACCCAACCCCTCATTGGGAGATACTAGGTAAATGCTCTGAGCCATACCCCTGGCCCCTCACTGGGAGATTCTAGGCAAATGCTCTACAGTAGCACCCAGTAACCCTACCCTCACCTCCCCACCCCCAGCTTTGCTGCACCAGTGGGTGGGAGTTGCCCTGGGACAGGGCCAGCCTGAGCTGAGATCTTACTGAAGGTGGTGGAGGCAGGCGAGGCCACGTTCTGAGACTCGGGGGCATCCAGCCAGCAAGAGCTCCTGCAGTGAGCCAGCCAGTGGGTAGAGGCGGCTGAGGCACCAGTCGTCCACATTGGGGCAGCGCTGCAGCGACAGGGACTGCAGCTCCTTGAGAGCCACTGCTGAGTGAAAGGGTAAGCTGGCACTAGGGGCCTTTCTAAAGCCCACTCACAAAGGAGAATGTCCCATCTCCACCATCCCTACCCACTCACAGAGGTTGTCCAGACCCAGGTAGTTGATGGCACAGCCGCTGGCATCCACAGCTTCCACAGGCACCTCCCGGAATGCCAGGAAGTCAGCAGAGAAACGTCCTCGCTCATTTGGCCGGATCCACTCTTTATCCTGAAACCTGGAATGGGGTGAGAGATGGCGGTGGTGAGTGGCACCCTCTGCTCCTATGCAACGGACTGCTGCACTGTCTGGGTGATAGGGCTTTCTGTGTGTCTGCTGGCAGTGGCATCAAAGATGGCATGCTTCTCCCTTCTTCCTTACCTGGACAGTGAGGGCCCAGATGTCACTCAGCCTCAGAGCAAAGAGAGAAGCTGGGGATGACTGCACACACCTAGAGTCCCAGCACTTGGGGATCTGAGGTAGGAGGACTGGGAACTCCAGGCCAGCTTGGGCTACAGAGTGACACCCTGTTACAACATCCCTCCACTCCAAAAGGAAAGCACTGCATGCATAAATCCTCGAAGATAGGCAAGTTTCAGGGCATTTTCAACATGTATCCTGTGCTAAGGAGTTGGGAAGAAGTCTCTCAAACCAGGAGAGATTTAATTAGAACAAACAGAAAGAGTCGATAAAGCCTATGGAAACTGCGTTTTCAGAAAAGAACAAAACAAAAACTCCAGGACAGGTGAGATGGCTCATCTAGTAAAGATGGCTGCTGCTAAGTCTGATGACCTGAGTTCGATTCCCAGTACCCACATGGTGAAAGGAGGGAACCGACTCCCAAAAGTTGTCCTCTGACCACCACATGCACACTGTGGCATGCATGTACTCACACCTACACTAAATAAATAAAAATTATTTTTGAAAGACTGTTAAAAAAAAAGGGAAGAGGGGAAAGGAAGGAGGAGAAAAAGGGAGGAAAACAAACATGATCTTTTTGTTTTTTTCCTTTATTGAGACAGGGTCTTGGGCCTTGCTATGTAGTCTAGGCTGGTCTATAATTTATGATTTTTCTGCCTCAGCCTCCAAAGCAGCTGGGATCACAAGCACACACCACCATGTGTCCACCTAAGCAAAACACTTAAGGTTTAAATTTTTATTCACTGTGTGTATGTGAGAGACAGATGTGTGCATGATGTGTGGGAGTAACTGCCGCGGTGGTATATGGAGGTCAAAGGTCAGCTTTTGGAAGTCAGGTCTTTCCACCATGGGATCCAGGAAATGAACTCATGTTGTTAGGATTGTGCAAGTGCCTTTACTCTTCAAGCCCAGAAAAACACTTTTTTTTTATGAGACTGGGTTTTGCTGTGTAGCATAGGCTGGCTCTGAGCTCCTAGAAGTGGCTGGGATCACAGGCTTAGCACATAGGGTACCCCAGTGACTAATTTCGTTGAGCACCTATGTGATTCTAGGCTTCGTAATGGATTTTTTTTTAATTTATTTTTGTGCGTATGAGTGTACTGCCTGCATGTATGTAAGTACACCTGTGTTGTGCAATACCCATGGAGGCCAGAAGATGGTGTAAGATCCCCTGGAACTGGAGTTATGGACAGTTGTTAGATGTCATGTGGGGTGCTGGGAACTGAACCGGGGTTCTCTGCAAGAGTAGCCAGTGCTCTTAACTGCTGAGCCAACTCTCCAGCCCTTAATGACCAATTTTTTTGTTCTGCCTTTTTTTTTGGTCTTTCTGAGACAGGGTTTCCCTGTAGCCCCAGCTGTCCTGGAACTCACTATGTAGATCAGGCTGTCCTTGAACTCACAGAGATCTGCCTGCCTCTGCCTCCCGAGTGTTGGGATTAAAGGAGTGCACTACCACACCCGGCTCATGACCAATTTTACACTGCAAAATCTCAGTCTGTTTTTTAAAAAATTATTTTTTATTACTTTTATTTTATGTGTATGCTGCCTGCATGTTGTGAATGTACCCGTGTCAGGCAATGCTGCGGGGAGTCAGAAGAGGGCTTCGGATTCCTCCAGAACTGGTTTAGGATGGTTCATAGCCGCCATGTGGGTGCTGGGAATCGAACCCGGGTTCCCTGTAAGGGCAGTCGGTGCTCTTAACCGCTGAACCATCTCTCCAGCCCCAAAATCTCAGTCTTTAAAGCAAGCCTTGTAGTCAGTTGGTGATGATCATCACCTCATTTATATTATTTAAAGAGAACTGAGGCTGGAGACATAGCCTAGCAGTTAAGAGCACATACTGCTCTTCCAGAGGACCAGAGTTTGATTCCCAGCACCCACATCAGGTGGCTCACAACTGCATATAACTCCAGCTCCAGGGGGATCCAAAGCCTCTGGCCTCCATGACGACCTGCACACACATGGATATACTCTCCTCTTGCACACACACATACACACACAAAAATAATTATTAAATCTTTAAAAATTTTGTATGTATTTGTGTGCACACACATGTGGAGACCAGAGGTCAATGCTGAGTGTCTTTCTTGGTTGCTTCTCTTATTTTTTTTTTAAATATTTTACTCATTTTTATTATTTGTGTATGTGTGTATTTGCCTGTATGTAAGTGCACCCGTGTCATGCAACACCAGGTCAGAAGAGGGCGTGGGATCCCCTGGAACTGGAGTTACAGAGGGTTGCTAGCCACCATGTGGGTCCTGGGAATGGAACCCAGGTCCTCTTTAAGAGTAGTCTATGCTCTTAACTGAGCCATCTCTCCAGCCCCTCTCTATCTAATTTTTTGAGATAGGATCTCTCACTGAGCCTGGAGCTTGCCGATTCAGCTGGCCTAGCTGGCCACTGCACCCTCATCTTCTTTCTCAGCACTGGGATAGGAGGTGTACCCCACCATGCCTGGATTTTACCTGGCTGCTGAACTCAGGTCCTCATGCCTTCATGGCAAGCACTTTACCAAATGGGCCATCTCCCCAGCCCTGGGACCCATCCCATTTTATACATGACAAACGGAAGCCCCAAACAAGCCCCCAGCACACACCACTGACTAACAGAGGTGCTCCCCCCCATCCCACACCTGCCCCCAATCCAAAATCTTCCCTGTCGTACTTGACTGCACCTCCCAGCTTCAGGATGAAGAGGGCACCTGTGACATATGGGCCGTATTTCTCGTTGATGCCAATAAAGGATCTGTGGAGAAAATGAGAGCAGATGTGAAGCTTGGGACCCCTCACCACGCACCATGCTGGTGCTTTGAAGTGGGAGTCAAGGGGTCAGGCAAACACGAAGGCTGGCCTGGTTGCAAATCTTCACTGAGTGCCTATTAAGTACTGGGTACTGGAATCACAGTGGTGACCTGTTGAGCCATAAGCTAGAGGGAGAGCTAATAAACCAAGAAGTAACTGCAGACCAGAGTGCCAATTCCACGATGAGAACAGATCAGAGGCAGCAGGGCACTGGGAGCTAGTTTGTGTTACATGTGAAAAATGGTCAGGCATGGTGTCATACACAGGAGGTGGAGGCAGGAGGATCAGGAGTTCAGGGCCAGTCTCAGCTGAGTTTGAGACCAGCTTGGGCTGCAGATCCTATTTCAAAAAAGTAATTTTAGCTGGGCTTGGTGGTGCACACCTTTAATCCCAGAGGCAGAGGCAGGTAGATCTCTGAGTTCAAGGCCAGACTGTTCTATGTAGTGAGCTCCAGACCAGCTGGGGCTATAGGGGCACTCAGCCTCAAAAAGACCAAAACCCATTTTTTTTTTTTTTTAGTAATTTTAGTTTTCGAGGCTCTAATGCCCTTTTGTAGGCTCTGTGGACACCCCCCACTCATGCCATACTCAAAAACACAGACAAAAGTAAATCTTAAAAATCTTTACAATCTGGGCCACCTGGATGGCTTGGCAGGTAAAGGTGCTTGCCACCATGCCTGAGGTGCAAATTCGATCCCAGCGATCTACATGGTGGAAGGAAAGCACCAACTCCCAGAAGCTGTCCTCTGACCTCCACACTCAAGCAGACGCACACACTCATGTACACACACAGACACAAAATAATTAAATGTAAGGCAAAAGCAAACCAACGAACAAACCCAATGCATGTTGGACATGATGAGATTTGTGGGGACTTGACTGGTGGGAAGGAGTGTGTGCAGGGAAGGGCCTGCCGGGCCAAAGGAAAACAGCATTACCAAGGCTGGGTGAGCCCTCAGGATGCTGTGGGACTTGGTAGGAAACTCAGAGCTCACAGAGTGTTTAGGCATGAGACTGGTAGTTTTCCTTTTCCTCTTTTTTTTTTGGGTGGGGGGAGGGTCCCATTATATAGCGCAGGCTGGTCCCAAACTTGCAATCCTCCTGCCTCAGCCTCACCAGTACTGGGATGACAGGGTTGCCACCATGCCCAGCTGAGATGGGCTTTCATTGTAACTGCAGACTGGTAAGGGAACTAGTGTGGTGATAACCTTAAAAGGATAGACATGAGGGTAGGCCCTGAACAGTGGAGGTGACCAGACTGGGAATACTCTAGTACTGATGGACTGGCAGAGAGAAGCCAGGAAAGAAAGGAATCAGGAGGACACCTTCAAATTCAGCCTAACAACTGGGTGGTGAGGGCTGTCCATTCTTTGGACAGTGAAGGCTTTGGGGGTAAGCAGATATTTTTTAGAGGGAGAAATGAGAGATGTGGTTTTGAGTCATACCACATCTGAGATGCCAGCCAGACCCTCAAGCAGAGCTGGTGGCAGAGGGGTGTATATGATGGAAGCCGTAGAGAAGGCTGTGGCATGTTGGCAGTGAAAACCACAGCCTGGCCTGGGATGGTGAGGGCAGGCTTTGGGGCTCTGGCTGGAAGGCCAGCAGGGTCTCCATGGGGTCTTGCTGGCCACAGGCTCTCACCGATTTTTCCGGTTCAGTTTCAACATCTGCCTCAGGAGCAAGAACTCCCTCAGAGCCTGGATGTCGTAGAAGTGGTCACCCAGGTACTGCAACAGCGTCCGTCTCTTCTGATTGCCACCTGGGGCCACTGATTCACTCATGCCATGGATGCTCCTGGTTCCCCCGTTCCATTCTCGGATGCCCAGGCGCAGGAACTGGGGAAGAGGAGAGGAAAAGACTGGTGCTGAGCCTGGAACTGGATAACGCCGCCCTAGCCGTCCTTACACCAGGAATTTCAAACCCCCTACTTCCCAACTCTTGCAAAATTCTTGCAGAGCTTTCAACTTTGGTGCTTAGGAGTGTACAAGGCCCTGTGCTCAATCCACTCCCCAAATCCTGGCCTTGGAATTCTGAACATTTCCCCATGTTCCTCCATCTATCCAGCCCTAAATTCTATCCTTAATTCAGCTAAACTATCTTATTTTCCCAAGTTCTAATTTCCCACTAAATCCTTTTCTCTTTTAAAAACCTCCATTTATTTTATTTTACGCCTTGCTTTATTTAATTTATTTATTTGGTATTTTTGACACAGGATTGTCCTGTAGCCCAGCTGACCCAAAACTATGTAGATCAGGCTGGCCTCAAACTCACAGAGATCTGCCTGCCTCTGCCTCTGCTGGGACTACAGGCCTGTGCCACCACACCCGACTAAAACTTCCATTTATCTTAATTTCCCACAAAGTCACTTTTTTTGGGGGGTATGTGTATATATGTTTTTGTGTGTGTTCATGCACATGTATGCCTATGTGTGCAGCATGTGTGTGCACATGTATACAAAGGCCAGAGGTTGATGTCCAGTGTGTTACTCGATAGCTCTTCATATATTGTACAGGGTCTCTTGCATCCAGAGCTCTGGAATTCAGTGAGTCTAGCTAGCCAGTGTGTTTGGGAATCCTGTCTCAGCCTCCAGACCGGCTGCTGTCTGTGCCCATCATGAATTTTACGGGTGCTGGGGGACCCAAATCTGGTCCTCATGCTTGCAGGACAAGTACTTTACCCGCTGAGCCATCTCCTCAGCCCAAACTCTACTTTTAATTTTATCCAGTTTTCCACAGATCTTGCTGAATGACCAAGTTTCTGCTCCCCTTCCCCCCATGTAATATTTAATTTGGAGGGTGGTGCTGGGGAGAGAATCTAGGCAAGCACTCTACCAATGACGTACACCCTCCAGTTTACCACGGATTCTCAGAATTTCCCTCAGTTTGTTCCTCAGGACTCAGAAATTCACCTCTTGCTTCCTGCCCCTACCCCATCATCTTTGATCTTCTATCAAGGTTTAATTATTTATTTACAGGCAAGATTTCATGTCTAGGCTGCCCTCCAACTCTCCACGTAGCTGAGGATGACCTTGAACTGATCCTCCTTCCTCCGCCTCCCAATGCTGAGATTAGAAAATTCCTGAATTTTCCCACTAATGCACGTCAAATGCATCCTTAGTTCTCCATTCGGGACATCCCAGATTGTAGTTCGGCCCCTCCCAAACATTCGACCCTTCCATCCTCGCTGCCCATTGGCTCCCTGGAGGTGCAGTCGTACCCTCTGATTGGCTAGTCCCGCCTCATGCCCTTCGATTTCTCTACCAAACATCTGGCCACTTGCCCTCTCACTTGCCCCATGACCCCTGCCTGGTCCCCGGTAGCCCCGGCGCGTCCCCAGGGCCAGGCCTAGCGCCCCTGCTCTCGCACGCTCTGTGCTCCTCTGGAGGCCCCGAGGGCAGAGGGGCAAAGCGGACTGCGGTCCCGGGCCCTGGGAGCTCCGGTCACCTACCGCCCAGGGCGCCGCCATCCTGCCGGGCCGACGTTCCCCGGAAGGGGCCGTGCTTCCAACACGTGGTTCAGCCGCTGCGGCCACGCCCCTCTGTTCAGCTCTCTTTTAAAGGCGCACACACTTTTTACTCCAGCTTGGAAGATTATTCACAGCGCCTTTTTCAGCGGCTTACATTCATTCATCTATTTACTTATTTATTTATTTTTGGTCTTTTTGAGACAAAGTCTCCTTATAGCCCCAGCTGGCTTGGAAATCACTATGTAGACCAGGCTGGCCTTGAACTCCTAGAGATCTGCCTGCCTTTCCCTCCCTAGTGCTGGGATTAATAGGCGTGCGCCACCACGCCCGACTAATGTTTATTTCTTGTTTGTGTGTGTGTGTGTGTGTGTGTGTCCCACGGTGCACGTGTGGTCAGAGGATGGAGCTGAGGTCACCAGGCTTGCTTGACAAACACCTTCACCCTGAGCCATCTCACAAGCCCTATTATTATTATTAATTATTATTATTATTTGATTTTTATTTATTATTTTTTATTTTATGTGTATGAGTGTTATGCCTGCATGTAAGTAAATGCACTCGTCTCGTGCAATGCCTGCAGGGGACAGAAGAGGCCGTCGGATCTCCTGGAACTGGAGTTGCAGACAGTTGTTATCTGCTATGTGGGTACTGGGATTCGAACCAGAGTCTTCTGCAAGAACAGTCACTGAGCCATCTTTCCAGCCCCTGATTTTTAATTTTTGTGAACTTATCCCCTCCCATATCTGCTCAAGTCAAATAGAATCCCAACATAAACTTGGGTAAGTGGGTAAGAGAACCCAACCGTCTGAGGAACTACTGGCAACTGATCACTGCTAGTAAGGGGACATTCAGTCTCATCTAAGGGTGAGACTCTTAGTAGGTTAACCAGGCTCCAGTGGATGAAGCCAACCAAAGGGCATTTGGGGATACAAACCTATCATTTTATTTTATTATTTATTTTATTTTATGTGTATGAGTGTATTGCCTACATGTGTGTAATTGCACCCATGTAGTGCAATGCCCATGGAGGTGAGAAGGGGGCCTCAGATCCTCTGGAACTGAGTTACCAACAGTAACAGCTGTCAGTCACCATGTGGATGCTGGGAGTCGAACCTGGGTCCTTTACATGAGCAGCTCTGCAAGAGCAGCCAGTGCTCTTAACCACTGAACCATCTTGCCAGCCCCGAATCTATCATTTTTTAAAACAGAGTCAGAGAACAGAAAAGTGGAATGATAAACCAGTGTACGAGCCTATTTGGCTTCGATTTGGAATTCATGTCTGAACTTTTCTTTTTGTCTTTCCTTCCTTTTTTTTCTTTTTTTGTCTTGAGACAGGGTCTCTCTTGTAGCCCTAACTGGCCTGGAACTCACTATGTAGACCAGGCTGGCCTTGAACTCACAGAGATCTGCCTTCCTCTGCCTCCCAGTGCTGGGATTAAAGGCGTATGCCACCACACCCAGCTTTCTTTCTTTTTTAAAATTTAAAAAACAATTATTTTTATTTTGTATGCATGTGTTTAAATGCACCAGTGTCATGCAGTGCATGTGGAGGCCATCAAAGGGCACTGAATTCCCCTGGAACTGGAGTTACAGGTTGTTACCTGCCATGTAGGTGCTGGGACTCGAGCTTGGGTCTTCTATAAGAGCAGCCAGTGCTCTTAACCCTTGAGCCATCTCTCATCTCTCCAGCCCCCACCTTTATTTATTTTTTTCTTGTTGTTGTTGTTTTCTTTTGTTTTTTTGGCAGGGTGTCACTATGTAGCCCTGCCTGGTCTGAAACTCACTAAGAGATCAGGCTGACCCTGAACACTCAGAGATCTTCCTGCCTCTACTTCCTGAGTTCTGGGATTAAAGAGTAACTATAAAATCTTTTTATTTATAATTTTGTTAGGCTGGTCTTTTTTTAACTTTAAAAAAACTTTATTATTTTTATTTTATGTGTATGTGTGTATTGCCTGCATGTAGGTAAGTGCACCCGTGTTGTGCAATGCCCATGGAGGTCAGAAGAGCCTGTCGGATTCCCCTGGGACTGAAGTTAGGGATAGTTGTTAACTACCATGTGGGTGCTGGGATTCAAACCCAGGTCTTCTGCAAGAACAACCAGTGCTCTTAACCTCTGAGACATCTCTCCAGCCATGCCTTTAACTTTTTTAAAATTAAAATTATTTATTTACGGGGCTGGAGAGATGGCTCAGCGGTTAAGAGCACTGACTGCTCTTGCAGAGGACCCAGGTTTGAGTCCCAGCACCCACATGGTGGCTATGAACCATCCTTAACTCCAGTTCCAAGGGAATCGAAGCCCTCTTCTGACTTCCGCAGCATTGCACTACACAGGTGCACTCACATACACGCAGGCAATACACTCATACACATAAAATAAAAATAATAAAATATTTAAAAATTTATTATTATTAATTAGTATTATTATGTGTGTGTATGCTCTCTGTGTGAATGCAGGCATGCATGTGCCAGAGTTAGAGGACAATTTTTGGGCATTGGTTCTTTTCTTCCATCATGGGATCTGGAGATTGAATTCAGGTCATCAGGCTTGCAGAGCAAGAGCTGTGACCTGATGAGCCATCTTGCTGGCCTGACCTTGAACTTCAGATCCTCCTGCCTCCACCTCCTGAGTGCTGGGATAGTAGGCTTGCACCAACTACCATGACTGATTTATGATGTACTGGGGACCAAACCCTTAGTCTCATGATGCTAGGCACGTACTCTACTACCTGAGCTACATATCCAGCCCCCAGTGTGATGTTGGGATGCATGCATTCATTAATTTGTTCATTCACTGCATAGGTGTTTACTGAACTCTCACCACAATATAGACACTGCTTTTGGGGGTGCTGACATTATACTGGAGAGCAGGATAAAACCATCAACATTCCACAAGGCAGAGGATGAGTAAGAAATGAATAAGAAATGAAGGTGCTTGATAAGAAGTAGATTAAAAGGTAATATAATGGGGAGTGGCTGGGACACAGGGTCATCAGCAAAGGCCTCTGAACAGGTGGCATTTAATCGGAATGAATGATAGGAAAGAAACAGCTATTCAGAGCTTCAAAGGAAAAGTTTTCCACACAGGGAACAGACAGTGCAAAGGCTCTGAGGTGGGAACCAGCTTGCAGAGAGGTGGGAGACAAGATCGGAGAGGTGGCAGTGGGCTGACTGAACAGGCCCAGTAGGGTTTTATTCTATTTTCAATGGAAAGAGGAAGGTCCACTTGCCTCTGCCTCCATAGTTAGGATTAAAGGTGTGTGCCACCACACCCAGGAAGGAGAATGAATCTTAGAGGGTGGACAGGAGACCAGCACAGAGGCTACTGTGCTAGCCCAGGCAAGTGATGACGAGGAGTGGTGGCAGTGGCTATGTGAGAAGCGATCCAGACAAAAGCCTGAGAAACTTGGTTTTTTTTGGGGGGGGTCTTTTTGAGGCAGGGTCTCCCTATAGCCCCTTGGAACTCACTATGTAGACCAGGCTGATCTTGAACTTACAGAGATCTGCCTGCCTCTGCCTCCCAAGTGCTGGGATCAAAGGCATGTGCCACCATACCTGGCTCAGGCCTGAGAAATTTAAAGTATCCTGGTGCCACTTATGAAATGGAGAAACTGAGGGAACAGCAGGAAGGTTGAGCTGGTAGACTGACTACCCCCTTCCTCAGAAGTCCATGTCCTGTGATCCCTGGGCTTTGTGAACACGTCTTAGTACTATTCCCCCCCTCCCTCTCCTCCTCCTCCTCTTCCTCCCTCTCCTCCTCTTCCTCCTTCTCCTCCCTCTCCTCCTCCTCTTCCTCCTCCTCCCTCTCCTCCTCCTCTTCCTCCCTCTCCTCCTCCTCCTCCTCTTCCTCCTTCTCCCTCTCCTCCTCCTCCTCCTCCACCTCCTCCTCATCACCACCACCATCATCATCATCATCATCATCATCATCGTCATGAGTTGCATGTAGGTCAGACTAGCCTCAAATGTGCTATGTAGCTAAGGATAGTCCAGGGGATCAAACCTAAAGCTTTTTGCATGCTAGGCAAGCTCCCTACCTACAGAGCCATATTCCCCAGCTCCTATGTTAGATAGTATTAAAAGCCAGTCTGGACCAGGTGCTGAGGCTTGATGCTTTGTAGCTCTGTCTTGCCTGGACCTTGTGATCCTCCAGCCTCAGCCTTCTTGAGTGCTGGGATCTCAGGCCCAGTTTATAGATCCTGAGATAGGGATGTTATGGACAACTGGGTGGGACCAGTGTAATCACAGGGATCTTATCAGAAGGGTGGATTGTCACAGTCAGCTGGAGTTATGCTGGAGGCCACAGCTTAGAGCCATGCAAGGAAGTGGCTTCTAGAAACTGGAAAAAACTGGGGAATGGGCTCTTCCCTCGAGTTTCTAGAAGGAACTCGGTGTAATGTACTTAGTTTACACTCCAGAACAGTAAGAGAATAGCCTTGTTGTTTTGTTTTCTCCCTTCAGTGCCTAGACTTGATCCAAGAGCAGTGAGTGTGTGTGTGTGTTTGTGTGTGTGTGTGTGTGTGTGTGTTGGGGATGGAATTCAGGGCTTCCTGCATGCTAGACAAGCACTGTACCACTGAGCTGCATTCCCAGCCTTGAACCAGAGCCTGCTTGGGCTATTCAGTCTCTTTATCACTCAACCATATCCCCAATCCCCTGTGGTTTTTGTTTTGTTGTTTTTGAGACAGAGTCTCATGTAGCCCAGGCTGGTAGCTCAGGATGACATTGAACTTCTGATCCTCTTGCCTCTGTTTTCCAAGTATTGGGATTACATGCATGTACCACCATACCCAGTCAGTTTTATGTGGTGCTGGGGATTGAACCCAGGGCTTCATGCATGATATACAAGCACTTTATTAACTTAAGCTCCCCATTCCCCCCCCTTTGGGTTTTTTTCTTTTTTAAAAACAAATATTTTAT